CAGCTCCGAAAGTCACATGTAACTTGTGCTTCTTGAGTGCCTGAGGGTCACCTGCTGGCTCCGTTCTTGCAGACGTGAACGTGGTGACTCCACGGTCGAGGGTGGTCTGGGTGCCGCCCCTGTTCCAGGTGTGACAGGTGACTGGCTCTGGTGGGCACGGGCACAGGGACGGATTCTTAGTGTTCTCAAAGGGCAGGGAGCCCTTTCCCTGAGGTTGGGCTGTCTGCAGGACCTTGAGGCAGAGCACCCTAGGACCTCCTTTTGCAATCTCATGCGATCTGTCTTTATTTTTCTATCGATGTGACATTGACATAACTCAAACATGAACCTTCTGTGTGGACAATTCGGCAGCACTCAGTGTGATCACAGTATTGTGACCTTCACCACTGTCTACTTCCAGAGCATTTCACTCACCCCAAAAGTAAAACCTGTCACCATTAAGGACCCCCCCCGCCCCCGCCCCTGCTGCCACCACCATCCATCGCGTCCTGCCCCTGGCAACCGCCAGTCTGCTGTCTCCGGGGCTGGCCCTGCTGGGGTTTCATGTAAATGGAACAACGCACTACGTGAGCTTGGCATCTGGCTTCTCATCCTCATTTATCACTTCTTTGTCATTCGCTGGATCTTGACCACAATGCTGGTCTCCTGATTTATATTCAGGATTATTCAGTTTGAGTAAATTGTTTATTGAGCTGGGTGTGATGGCACTCAAGAAAGAAAAGAAACTGAAGATTCAGTATTGCAAAGATGTCAAATCTTACTAAACTGATTTTCAGATGCAAGAAAAATCCCTATTATAATCCCAGGAATTGTGCGCCTGTCCAGGGGCAAATTGAGAACTGACTGTGAAGTTCCCCCAGAATCTGGCTGTCAGCGGGGGGAGGGCAGAGGAGCCCTCTCTGTGCGCTGTGCCTGGCCGAGGCGCTGTCTCTTGGGGAGAAGCACGGAGCCCGCCCAGTACCAACGCACTTGGGGAACCATCTCAGACCTTTCGAGGTGATCCTACGGATCAGCAGCCAGGAGGGCCCCGCCATGGGAGACGGAGTAAAGTCACACACCAGCTCCGGGAGACCCAGCCTGGCTTTCCAGTGACTTGGCCTCTTCTGCGAGCCTGCCAGGTCAGGATCCGGCTCACGTCCCACCTACCTGCCTCTGGGTGAAGCACACAAGGACCCAACACTGTCTGTCTCTATCACAAGGTGTCTTCAAATCATATAAAAATTAACTAACCACTGGGCGTGGTGATGCACACTTGTAATCCCAGCACTAGGGAGGCTGAGGCAGGAGGATGGCCATGAACTGCATAATGAGACTCTGTCTCAAAATCAAACAAACAGAATTAATCACTGTTCCAAAACAGCTAAAGATGTATCACAGTGATCCAGACACACCGATGTTTTAGCAGCATACCGCATAATAGGTACATAATGGAAGCAGCCTGTGTGTCTAGGAACAGATGGTTGGATAAAGAAAATGTATCTATGCACACGATGAAATACTATGCCATAAAGAAGGAACACCTTGAGTCGTGCAGGAGAACGGATGCACCTTGAGACTATAGTGTGAAGCAAAATGACTCAGACACTCAGACATGCATGCTTCAATATTCCATGGTTTTTCTTCCACGAGTATCCCAAGTATAAATAACTGAAAGAGCAAAATAAAAGATAAATAATAGGAAGATGGATCTTTTACAAATGGAAAGGGGACTAAACGATGTTGGGAGGGGGAGGGAGGGCTGGGAAAGGGAACAAGAAAAGAACTAAGTGTCACCTACACACCAACCCCTCACGAGGAGTGGAACCCTTATGGACTGTATACATGCGCTAATACAACTTTTAAAAATAAAAGAAAAATAGAAAATGAACTACTGACAATCTATATAGAAAGGATAGAGGTGACAGGGAGGAAGAGTCTTTCCTAAGATTGCCCTCAGGTCTATCCAGGGCCTTCGGATGCTGCTGAAGACTTCAGCCTTTACCCTTGGGGCCAGTGTGCGCCATGGCCTAAGTGAGGGAGGCCCAAGGCCAGGCCTTGCTCCGGAAAGGCCTCTGTGGCTGCCTCCTGTAGGGGTTGGACAGCAGGGGTCAAAGGGGCTCCAGAGAGCAGGAAGGGGACAGGGACAGGAGCCATGAGGGAGGCCTGCATCAGTGCTGGGCTGAAAGGGGAAGCCCCCGCAGAGGCGCCTCATGAGAGTCACTCCCAGCGTCCATCCTGCCTACATTTTGGTGGTGCCTGGCTGAGGCTGCCCACCTGTTCTCTCCGCTCCACCTTGGGTGCTCTTGGCAGTGGGTAACAGACCTGCACCCTCAGAGCCTGCAAGTTAACCCACTCAGCAAAACATAGCTATGGTGCAGCCACTGTGGTGTAGCCTGTAACCAAACCCTGACTCTACGGAAGCTGAGGCAAGAGGATAGCAAATTCAAGGCTGGACTGGACTACATAGCAAGACCCTGTGCCCCCACAACCAAAAAGAAATGCTGAAAAAAGTGTAGATGTGCTAAAGCCGAGTGAACATTGTAAGCTGGCTGGATGTTTTTACTATAAAATCTTTTGTGGAGGAAGACTGTGAAAACTGATGGAAGTGGAGGTGGCGTGGGCATTCTGAAAAGGAAAGTCCATGACAGTGCCCGGCATGTGGAGGCAAAGGGACCAGGAACACAGGACAGCCAGGAGACTCCAGGGGCCTCGCTAGCCCCGAAGTGTTCCAGGCGGGGAGGATAGGGGCACTCTTAAAAGTTCGGACGTTGGCAAACCATGTTGTTTCCTGTCACCTGCTAGAAAGACCACAGAGCTGTCCATGGTCCATGTCCACAGCTGAGGTGTGCGACAGTGAAGGGTCCAGATGAAACTCAGCAAGAAAAAAGCAGCATCCATCCAGTCCCATGTGCTGGCTTCCTGTTACCTCCACCAGGGCACAGCTCTAACCTCCCCTGGCAACTATAACTGACAAAATGTGCTGAGGTTTGCTGACCGGGACGGCTCACCCAGCCTTGGTGTCTAGGGCTTTTGACGAAGGTGAGTGATAAAGACGAAACTGACCACCTACGTGGGCTTCTCCAGGGGCTGAGCTGATTCCACATGGCCCCAGGTCCCCAGCGTAAATGGTATGAGTAGCAGAACCCTTTGGTATGGTGGAAGGCCTCAGAGATAGTCCGGGCATTCCTAGGACTTAAAGATTACCCAGGCGCCAAGGGCAAGGCCAGACCTCTGCATGAGTAAAGCTATCACAGAACTACTCAGAAAAGAAGAACAGATAGAAGACAGAAGAAGATAAATAAGGGAAAGACGGAATTCACTCAGCCCCATCACAGTAGTGTCAGTGATGATACAGAGCCCCTCTGCCATCACCAAAAATGAAATCAGGCCTTCAAACTGCCAAGGATATGATTCTGGAATAGTCATTTGGAGCCTAGAAACTATCACCTAGCCCTGCATGAAGGTGGGAAAAGATATTCCAAATATGTAAGGATTCAACACACTTACCTACTTAACACCTTTTCTGCGAAAGGTACTTGGGGGTTATTTTATAATATTCACCCAAAGAGTCAAATGCAGAGGAGTGCAGAAGATCTGTCCACACACTAGAGACCCAAAGAACCCAGCTGAGCAGCGGGGTCCTATGGTAGTGTCCTCCATGAGTCCAGCTGGAGTCCTAGAGCCACGACAACGTCTCATGCATGTCTATGTGGAGGATCTGCACTGGGAAGGACCAAAGGTCAGCATGGAAGTTAGAAAGTCTGCGCCAGAGGGATGAAGGATCTGTGCCAGCAGGCTGGGGGACTGCACAGGAGCCGGGAAGTGATGCTCAAAGTAAGGACCAGAGCTCCCCAGAAAGAAATGCAGTCACCCTCAGCGACAGGGAGGTCCCAAGCTCCTCCGACGATAACAACCAAGTTCATATCAGGAAGCCAGCGTGACAGGCTTCTCCAGGAGAATCAACAGCACCATCTTGCCCTCTGGTTCTCCTTTTACGCTGTTGGCAGCGATCCTCAGGGGAGCAAGCCACACCCAGCACCCCCACGCTGACTCAGTTCAGCTGGGTGTTCCGAGGTGACCACCAGTTCATCCACCACAGGGACGTACAGTAGCAAAACTAAAGTAACCTTCAACAGAGGAGAAGCAGTGTGAAGAAGAACGATGGGAGGACAGTCCCAAAGCAGCCCAGAGCACAGCCGGTGTGTCCATGGCTGGGGGACTACTTAGCAAAATGCCGACTGACCCCGGTCCCCGGGGAAGCTGAGCATCTGGGCTCTTATGTGGCAGTTTGAGAAACACAGATAGGAAAAGCGAAAAGCTCCACAGGGAAAATCAAGCCTGAAATATAAGAAAACAAAAGTGTGACCGAGAGCCAGGCATACAGCTCAGTGGCACAGTGCCTGCCTGGCACACAGTCCAGCACCAAGACAGAAAATAAATGTGACCTGACACAAAGCAGGGTTTGGAGTTGCCATTTAATGCTATAGCATTGGTTTAATGAAATAAAAGTATAATTTCATTATGGATCCACAGTGACTGTCATCTACCTAACCTTAGTATTACACAAGCTCTCTGGTTTCACCTTCAGACTCAACCTGTGGATAAAGCACTAGAGACTTATAACCCCAAAAGGTACCTTGATAATGTAAAAATAAGAACATAGCAGGGGGATTTAGCTCAGTGGCATAAGCGCATGCCTGGCAACCACAATGTCATGAGTTCAATCCCTGGCACACACACACACACACACACACACACACACACACACACAAGACTATCACAGACAAAGCCAGAGACATAGGGACATAGAGGGAGAGCCCTAAAATGTCTGAAGCCTAAGTTCTGTCCCTGTGTCCCCAGCACTGCCACCTCTTGTGTATATACCAGACAATCTGTGGTTGAGAAAGTGAAGCTGGGTAATAGAGAAGGATGGAGGGGGGGAGGGGAGAAGAAGGGGGAGGAGAGGGGAAGGGAGGGGAGGAGAGGGGAGGGGGTGTATTTACAGGACTAGGTGTCAGGAAAGTGAGGCTGTAGACATATTTAGAATGATAGAAGTTCCAATATATGGTAAATAATAAAAAGAATTATTTGTAAAAGTTGGGAGGCTGGCCAGGGATTTAGCTCAGTGGCATAAGCATCTACCTGGCAAGCTCGAGGTCTTGAGTTTGATCCCCAGCGCAAAAAATAAAAAAGATTGGTAGGCAGAGGAAAGGACATAGAATATGTGATAAATTCCACCCATGTTGTGGGGTAGACAGTAATGACAAATGGCCACAGAGTTTTTGTTTGGCTTGGTGTTTCTGATAGGAGTCCTGATATATAGTCCAGGCTGCACTTGAACTCCCTGGGTAGCTCAGGCTGACCTTCAACTCATGACCCTCCTGTCTCAGCCTCCCGAGTGCTGGAAATATGGGCATACACCACTGTGCACAGCTTAGTCCCAGCACTTTAAAAAATGCATTATACCAGGCAAGTCCCCTGCCTGGACCTACAGTCCCAGTGATCAGGGAAGCTGAGGCAGGAGAATTGGTTGAGCCCAAGAATACAAAACCCAGGGCTGAGGATTTAACTCTTCAGCATAAGTGCCTACTTGGTAAGCACAAGGTTGTGAGTTCAATCACCGGGTGTAGCCTGGACGATATAACAAGATCTTATCTTTAAATAGATGAATAAATGTAAAAGAAATAGATCCAGAAAAGATAAAAAATGGGGGGTGGGGTTAACCTTAATTAAGGAGCAGGACTAAAATGGAGGAAGGAAGGTGGATTCCCATCTGTCTTTGTTTTTGCTTTGGGACAGGATCTCATTAAGTAGTTCAGACTGGCCTTGGATCCCTCAGCTTCCCAAGTGCTGGGATTACAGGCACCACACCCATTTGGTCTTTGCAGGTATTCCTTTCTGTTAGGTCTAAATCCCCCCCGCCCCCGTGCATTTTATTTTTTGGTCTTTTTGAGACAGGGTCTCCCTATGCAGTTCAGGCTGGCCTTGAGCTCACTTTGTAGCCCAGGCTGGTTTCGAACTCTCAATGATTCTCCTGCCTCAGCCTCCCAAGTGCTGGGATTACAGGCATGAGTTACCTCGCCCGGCTCGTGCATTTGTTATTCTAGCCAAAAGTAAGAAAAGGCAATTGCTGGAAAGGATCTGCCTGGCTGCTGAGGAAAGTGGTTGAAGAGGTGAAAGGTGGAGGCTAGAAATTCAGGTGTTGTCTGGTTGAGGCCGGTTTATGCACCCAAGGGTTGGCACCCTCATTGTCAGTGTGGCTAGCGCTGCAAAGGCCATTGGGTCGCCAGGCGCGTGTTCCCTGCACACTGCAGAGCAGAGCACTGTCACCCCGGCCTGAGGAGGTGGGTGTGGGCGGCGGGAGGCCCCGCCTTTTTGCTGCGGGAAGGGGGGGGCTCATAACCTCCTCCTTCCTGAAGTGGACCCAGTCCGAGGTCCCCTCCACCTCCAGGTCATCAGTGTGCTTCCCCATCTGTTCGCTAGAATCTTCTGGATGCTTTTGGGCCACCCAGGCGGTAAGCAGGCCTTCCGGCCGGCCGGCAGAGTTAGTTTGGCTGCCGCCTGGGGCACGGGGGGCGGGGCCGTGCGGGTGCCTCTGCCACAGCCCCCACCTCCTCTTCCCCGCAGTGTACCACTGGACGGAGATGAGAGCCAAAATGCGTATCATGGGCTTCAGAGCGGAAGCCGTGAAGCCGCTCAACGAGGCGGCGGCCGCCGAGCTGGGCGCCGAGCTGCTGGGCGAAGCCATCATCTTCGTCACCGCCTGCAGCTGCCTGATGCTGGAGTACTGGCGCCAGCAGTCGCACCGGCGCCGCAAGAAGCAGCAGCAGCGCCTGTCGTGGGACGCTCTGCAGGAAGAGGTGGGCCAGCTGGCGCTGGGGCTCGAGGCGCTGCAGGCGGAGGTGCGCGCGGCCGCCTCGCGGGCCTCGCTGGAGGAGCTGCGCGCGGAGCTGCGGGAGGTGCAGGTCCAGCTCTGCAACCCCGACCCAGAGCCCGCGCCCCCGGAGTAAGGCCCGCAGTCCCTGCCGCGGCCCTCGCGCCCCGCCAGAGGGCCCCTGCCTGCTCTTTTCAGGCCCGCATTCAAGGTGGCAGTAATGGGGTCCAAACAGGCACCTCCCTGGTCATCTGCCCAGGGTACCTTGGCACAGTCCTCCCGGTGCCTCCTCCCACAGGTGGAACTGGGGGACCGGCACCCTCCCCCTGCCCCTGTCCCCACAGGGACCCAGAGCTTCAGCACCAGGAAGAGCAACGCCCAGTGTGGGTTCCACCTGTCCGCCAGGGGGAGGCAGAGGATAAACCACCTCTAGTTCCATGACTCCCACCCCCGCCTACCTGGGATTCCTTCCTATGGGGCGGGCGGAGACGAGGTCTCCTCTTCATCGGTAGGGACCAACACAAGAAAGTGCAGAAAGCTCCAGAGGACTTTCTGCCCCTGTCACCTATCACCTACCTCACTTTTCGGAGGACCTTGCACTGGGTTTGGCTGAAAGTCACCTGTGCCTGCTGTGTTTGACCCGCCACAGAGGCCGCCATCCTCTGCTCCAAACCGGAGCACCGAGCCGCACCCGTTAGTCTCAGGCCGCCCCTGGCCGGCCCACCTGACCCACTGCCCTCCAGCAGAACTGCCCCGGGGGAGGAGAAACTGGTCCTGCCTGGTACTAACACAGGGCCCCACCCCTCCCCAGTAGCCTAAGGACCCACCTGTCCCTCGAGTAGAGGCCACTGTCCTATTCCCCATCTACAGTACTCAAGGATTGCCCTCCCTCCTGCCTTATCGGGAGCACACCAAACCCCCAGACCAAACCACTCCTGCTCTCGGCCTCCGCACACCTTTCTCTTTTTGTAAACTGTTAAATGTTTATGTAATTAAAGGTATTCTTAGGTAAAGAACCCAGTGTAAGAAGTGCCTGTGAACCATTATGTGTATCTGCAGAGTGAGGACAAATGATACTAAATTAGGAGAAGCTGTGGGCATTCCGGTGGAAGAGAGGGGCAGTTACCCTATGAATTCTTTCCCACGTGGGGAAACTAAGGTAGCAAGAGACTTGCGGAAGGCCACACAGTCGAGGTGACGTTGGCCCTGGCTTCAGGTGATAAAGCAGTGCGGGAGTGGATGGGAAGGGATCCGAGAGAGAAGGGTAGAGAAGGTCGGGGTGGGGGAAGCTGAGAGGCATGGGGTGCGCAGCGAAGGCAGACTCCTGGGGCAGGGGACCAAGGCTTCCCAGAACCATACCGCGTCCCCATGGGCCAGCCCAAGTCACTCCAGAGATCTTCGCAGACTTATAAAACAGGAGATTTATTAGGCGAGGGCCCATTTTCAAGAAGCTAAAGGTGAGGGGGAGAAGAAAGTTTCCCTCCTCTCCCTTCTCCCTGAATAACTCTCCCCAGGGGATAAAAATGGTCTGGACCTCAAAACCTACCCAAATAAAAAAATGAAAAAAACTGAGGTTTCAAAAGTTACAGCATCTTAATTCCTCATAGAAAAAGGGACGGGAACAGAGGGAAGGAGGTCCCTCGTGGGGGAGGGGAGCACCCCACACGATGGGACACCCCAGCTTAAATAGCTGCCCCAAATGGGGCAAGCCTGGGGCTATTGCATTTAAAAATTCCCACACCCCTTTATCAAAACCAAAGAGAAAAAAAAAATTTCCTTCCCCCCAAAAACCCAAATATATATATATATTTTCTTCTTAAAAAAACAAACAAAAAAAAAAAAATCGAAGGCATAAGTGTTAAAGTGAATCTAGAACACGGGAATGTGAGATTCCAATTCCCTCCTTCCTTCCCCTTACTGTGGGGTTAATTGGTACATCCCCAGCAGAGGGACCAGCCCCAAGGGGATGGTAGACCGGAAGGACCAAAGGGAGCAAAGGGTGGGGGCCTCCCCAGCCAATCAGCAGCCAGTAAGGGTGTGGGTATGGTGCCAGGGAAGCCACATCCCCCTTGGAGTTTTCCAAGCAGGATGGGGAAGAGGAGGATGCATTCCTGTATTGTCTTCAGCCAATTCCATATCAAGTTGAGGCAGGGAAGCAGGGTGACAGGCGGCGCAAGGTGTGCAGAAAGGAGAAGGGGGTCCTTCGTGTCCCTGTGGTCAGGGGGAACCCCGCTTCCTCAGCTCCTGGATAAAGGCTGGAAGGAAACAAGAGGCAGAGGTCAGGGCTGGTTTCTTCCCCTTCCCAAGGACAGGATGCTTCCTGGATAAGGAAGCTCCAACAGAACCAAACCACTTTACCTTCAATGATCTCCTCTTTGACTTTCTGCAGTTCCTTCCTCACCTCTTCCAGAAGCTCCTGAAATAATAACCAGTCAAGAGGAGGCCTGGACTTGCTAAACAAGCTTCCCCTTTCTTATTTCATCACCAACTAGATGTAGAGGGAACCCAGGGCAACTCCCGTGCTAGGCAAGGGTTATATCACTGGGCCACATCCCCAGGCTCTTGATTTTATTATTTGCCTCAGCCTCCTGCGTGCTGGGATTACAGGCATGTGCCACCATGGCTGGCCCCGCTTTGTGACTGAAGAGCCACAGGAAGCAGGTCCAAGACCCACCCTGCCCCACACCCTGAGTGAGGTGGCTGCCAAGGTCACAGAATGACAGGAGAATTCATTCTATAGGCGAATTCTAGATCCTTGCAGCCAGGAGAAAAGTACTGGAGAACATCCAGTACCAAGCTAGGCAAATACATCCCGGTGTCCTGCCAACTCCAGCGGGTGATAGATGGCTGGAGCCATCAGACTGAGGAAGATCCTGGGTACCCAGCAGGAATCCGAGTGCTGACAGTGCCTCACATCTACCACGGGGGGTATGGTGTGTGTCACCCCTACCGGATGTGCCCTGACCCTGCCATTTCTCCGAATGGAAAGCTAGGCTTCCGAGGCCTTCTCTAGAGCCACAGAGCACACCCGTGGCAGAGACTCGCTATCCTCTCTCCTCATGGCCCTTTCCAGCTCCCAGCCTCCCCCCTACCTTCCCAGCAAGCTACCTGCTTCACACTGTCCAGGTCTGACTCACTGGCAGTGCTGGGGGCGGAGGAGTGAGCCTCGGAAGCAGCCACAGAAGACATCGACTTCATCCTGGAGGGGACGGTGGGTTTGGGACACAAATGAGGTTAGGAGGAGGATTTCCTTCACCTGCTTCCCATTCTAGAGACCACATTCTGTTCCTCCCAGTAAATTGGGCAAGGTCAAGTATTTTGGGGGTGGAGCCCCAACACTGATGGCCCACCTTGGCAAAGTTGTGCTGTTCTTCTCCCAGGGTCTCCGCACAGGTTCTGGGGAACAGGAGACAAATTGGAAAGATGAAAGACAAAAGTCGCCCCAAATTAAACCTTTCTCACCAGCCTCAAAAGCCTCTGTTCAAAGAATCATTTCAGAGCTGGGTGTGACAGTACACGTCTGGATTCCCAGCATGAGGGAGGCTGAGGCAGGAAGATCCCCCAGAGTTCAAGGCCAGTTTGGGCTACAGCGTGAGTTCAAAGCTAGCCTGAACTACATAGCCAGATTCGGTCTCAAAAACCAAACTGAGCTAAACCACACCGAATCACATCAAACCAAACCAAACCAAACCACACCGGACCCAACCCATTTCAGGAGACTTCAACCCCCAGTATTATCTTCACAGACTGTCCATGATGGTGCTCTGTTAAGGGCAAGCACGGCATCCTGGGATTTGTAGTTTCTGTAGTGAGACTGAGTTCTTACCACTTTGGGCTGGGACTCTGGCCTCTGGCTCCTCCTGCTGGTGGGAAATAAAACTGTCACAGGCCAGAGCCACACCTTTGCTCACTTCCGCCTCAGGATCAAAACCAGCCTGACTTGCTCCCCAATACCCCTTCCCTCAGGGTACAGCCTAAGGTGCACAGGGCAGGGGCAGCCCTAACTTACATTGGCAGATTCATCCTTGGGTTTCTCCCCGACTTGCGTGGCTTTCCTTCTGCAGGGGAAAAGCAAGGACATGTGGCTGTCCCCCCTCTGCCCTCAAAGGTTCCCCTCTCACTGGTCTAGAAATATGGACACCATAGGACTGGGGATTTAGCTCAGCGGCATAAGCACCTGCCTTGCAAGCAGGCGGTCCTGAGTTCAATCCCCGGTACCAGAAGAAAAAAAAAGAAAGAAAAGAAAAGAAATATGCACACCAGGGTGCAGAGTTCTGCAGTTCACAAAGGCTGAGAGAAGTGTAGTTTCAGAAGTTAAAGAATGAGGGTGGGCAGTCCACTCTTCTCACAGCTGGGAATCATAAACTTCTAAGTGGGAGGGGCTCTGTGGTAGCATTTGGGGGATTCCAGAATCAGAGTTTCAAGATGCTGACACAACACGGATACTGAGATTTTAGAATTCAGGGTGCTCTAACACTGAACAGGGTACCAGCCATCTCTGGAGCAGCCTGGGGGGGAGCGCAGACGACTTTCACCCCAAGAAACAAGCAAAACAGGAACCAGGGGCCTCCCCCAATGCCAGCTAACAAAACTGCAGGCTCCAAGTTGCAGGGGCAGGGGCTCAGGCTCACCTCCGGGCTAGCATGGCGTTCATCTCCTCCATGAGCCCCCCACCTGTGCTTCGACTGCTCTCAGCTTTGGGGACCAAGGGACCCCCTGAGGTCTCCTCTTGCTGGAGAAATTGAAAAGGAGAGAAGGCTTGAAGGGTGGGTCTCCTGACCTTCTAGCCCTCCTGTGACATCTCTAGGTGACTCCCATTGTCACCTGCCACTCCCAGCCTTCTTACCTTGCTGACTTTCCTGAGTTTGGCTCCAGCGATTGCTGCAGCCAGGCCAGGAGCCCCAGCACCCCCACCACTGGGACCCTGTGCTGCAGGGAGAGGGGGTGCAGGGGGTGGGCCTCCCCCTGCACCATGTCCTGCAGCTGAGACCCCTGACGGGGGCAGCCCTGGAGGTGGGGGGGGACCTGGAGGAGGAGGAGGTCCTGGAGGCGGGGGTGGGCCCCCAGCTGGGGGAGCAGGAGGGCCTCCTGAAAGAAGCAGAACAGGAGGTGCTGAGAAAGAAACCCTATTCTTCACTGCCCAGCAGCCCACCCCTTCCTGCAGGAGGTCCCCCATTGAGGGGTCACTGGAGAGTCACCTGCATTGGAGACCCGGCGCTCACGTTCCATGTGCTCTGGCTGGCTGGGCTGCTGCCTGTGGGAGGAACAGCGGCCTCAGTCAGGCCCCTGCGAGCCGGCCTTCCTTCCTTCCTGGGTGCCCAGGTGAGGAGGTACAGGGGACAAGGCAGGCAGGGCCAGTGAGTGACCGGGACAGAAGCACTCCTGTCATTCAGCTGTCAGGAACCTCTAATGAATAGCCTTCAGCCAGGTGCTGGTGCCTGGGAATCTGAGAGACCAGCACTGAGGGCCCGACGAGTCTACAAGCTGGGTGTGTGTAGTTTGATGAACCTTGGGAGGTAGAGGGGCTGTTTGCTTCTAGCAGCTTCTGAGAGCTGGGAGCTGAAACATTCTACAAACTGGGAGCTCATAAAATGGAAACAAAGCTTTTGTAAGATAAGGAGAGGAAGAGAGGTTGAAGAGAGGGAAGGGTCTGGGGAAAAAGACAGGAAACAAGATATATCATGCACAGGTATGAATATGATCATCATATACATCTAAATTGTACCAATAAAGTTGATTTAAAAAATTAAAGAAAAACAAAACAAAACCCCAAAACAGGATGCTGGAGGGACTGTGAATGCTAGGAGCCAAGTTGGGTTTGTGAGATCCTGGACTCTGGCAGGACTCGGGTCCCCCACCCAGGGATCAGCCCTACCTTTTCTGCTGCTCCAGCTCTTCTGGGGAGGGTCCGTTCTGGGCTGACCAGCCAGGCAGTGCGGGAGGCCCAGGAGGGGCCCCTCCTGGGAAGGGAGGGGAGGGGAGAGGCCAATGAGTCAACACCAGCCAGCCCCGGGTGCTTTTCCCTCAGGCCACCGGAATCCTGGTTTCCTACGCTGCCACAGGGCAGGCACGGTCCCAGCTGTGCAGGCTGGGTTTGGCAGGAAGAAGCCGGGACTCGGGCTGATCCTGCAGGCAGGCCATGTGGACCCTGCCTGAGGACCCAGAAAAGCTGAGGGCCTCTTCCTCTCCCGCCCAAGGCCTCTGGCTTACTCAAGGTTTCTGTGGCTGCCAGTTGAGCAGGGTCCTTCCCCCAACACTTGCATGGTAGGGGGATTTTTGTTTGGCAGCAGTTCCAGACCCCACGGAGCCCTACCTACGGACCACGCACGGCCTTTCCATCACCAGAGGCCTGCTAGAAATTCACTCTGAGGTGTGCAGTGCATACCTACAATCTCAGCACTTGGGAGGCTGAGGCAGAAAGATCACCAAGAGTACAAAGCCAACCTGGGCTACATAGTGAGTTCAAGGCCAGCCTGAACCACACACATGAGACTGTGTCTCAGACCAGCATGATGGTCATGAGAGGAAAGGGACAGGCAACCTTCTGGAGCCAGCCCTATCTACACCTCAACCTGAGGGTCACAGGGAGGGCGTACTGCCCCCCAGGGATTGTGTTAATTATGCATGAGGACACAGAAGCCACCAAAGTCTCATCAGAATTTTCCACAACAGGAATGACTTAGTGCTTTTTTTTTTTTTTTTGGTGGTGATGGACATACTAAGAAGTGAACCTACATCTATATCCACAGCCCTCTATTTTTGTTTTTTTGAGACGTGATCTCACTATGCAGTTCAGGCTAGGGTTGGACTCTTGTAGGTGAGGGTGGCCTCAGGATGCACGGTTATCCTCCTGCCTGCTACCTGCCAGGTGCTAGGATTACAGACGTGCCACCTCGCCCAGCAGCCCCCTTCTTTAAATTTAAAACAGGGCTTCATTAAGTTGCTAAGTTACACAAGACGGGCTCAACTTTGCCATCTTCCTGCTTCAGCCTCCCAAAGTACTGAGATTACAGGCACTGCTGTGGGGTCCTGCCTGCCCACCCACACTCTGGCTGTGTCTGACCTTCCAAGGCCTCTAGGGCACTGGCCATGCCGGCAGCGAACTGGGCTGCGTCTTCCTTGGTGCTGAAGTTGAGGCCCCAGACCTGGCGGGCATCACGCCACTGATGGAAGTTGGGGGTGGCCTGGTTATACTTGACCCCCCGGATGATGGCACAGTTGATGACCACCTGGCAGGAAGGGGAAAGGTGGGTGAGGGCTGTAGGCACAGGGTGGAGGCGTAGCCTGCAGAGAGTGAGGGGACAGAAGGAGCCACACCTGCTGGTCAGGGTGCATTTTTCGGCCCACGACCCGGAAGGAGTTGTTGGTGGGGTTATGGTAGATCTGGACGCGGCTGAAGGCCTGGGGACCCGTGCCGGCCGGAAGCCATCGCTTGTTGCTGTCATCATAAAGCATCACAGTGGCCCGGCTGGAACAGATGACCACCTCGCTGCAGGGAGGGAGATAAGGGAGAAGTTTCACATTCCCCATCTGGACCGGGAGGGAGAGTGGGAGAGAGACAGAGACGGAGGTGAGAGGGATGAGCAGGAGCAGAGAGCTTCTCCAGGCAGACAGCAAGGAGGAAAGGAGAGACCCAGCTGGGGTGTGAGACAGATGGCAAAGTGATGGGGCAGGGCAGACAGGAGACAGGTGAGGGAGGAAAAGGGGGCAACAGACTTGACATGGGACAGACACAGATGAGGGCAAGCTGGGCAGGCGGAGAGGGGCACACAGGAGATAAAGACGGAGACACAGGCAGATGGAGCGAGACAAGTGGGGGACCAGCAGGTGTGAGAGCAGTAGGTAAGGGCTTTGGGGCAGAAGCTGAGCCCTGAATGGCACCAGGGACCAGAGTCCCGACAGCCACCCCAGCATCCCAGACCCCGCTCCCAGATGGAAGCTGAGTTTCAGGGTGACGTCTGCTGCAAAGGCAGGACCTATCACAGACCCCCGCTGTCCCCTAAGTGCGCCCTGATTGCCACCCCATCCATCAGTTCCATTAGTTCCCAGGGCACCATTAGATGGGGCTGGTGATGACCCAGCGTGGCCTGAATGGCCCCAGACAGACAGACAGCGTCATGCTACTAAGCAACCTGGTCCCTTACAACCCTCTGTGGGAGGCCGAGAGTGCAGACTCCAGGCTAGGAGCTCAGTCTAGGGGACCCCCGCCCCAGGAACCCTGCCGTGCAGAGGGTCAGGCAGCAGCTGCCTTAGACTTTGGGGTCAGCTCAGAGTTGGGATCTGATACCACAGACCTGGGTTCAAATCCCTGCCCATCCACTTCCACCATGTAACCAGGCCAGGCAGCCTCATGCTGGGAACTCATCTTCCTTGGCTGCAAACTGGGGGAGCGGTGGTCCCCACTTCCCAAGAAAATGGGCGGAGTAAATGAACCTGGGCATGTAGAGGGCTTGGCACTGTGCCTGGCACGTCCTGAATACCCAGTCACACAGCCTGAACAGCCACAGCCAGGTGGGAACACCTAAGTCCCACAGCACTCCTCCCCTCCTCAGGGAGTCCTGTCCCCCTCCCCCATTGAGGAAACTGGGCTCCCAGAGGGGAAGTGACTTGGCTAAGGTCACACACAGACAGGGGAAGTTCGGAAGCACTGGTCTCTGCCCTGCCCCACCCCCTCCCAGCTTTTCCTGAAAAGAAGAAGTTGGGGTTAGAGGTTTCCGGGGAGAGAAATTACACTTGAGTGGCCCTGTCCCCAGTGGGCTGTGACAGTCAGGGCAGGGAAAGCCCCTAGGAAGGCCCAGCTGTGGGTGCTGGTACCCCCAGGACTGAGCCTACCCCCTACTTTTACTCCGCCATGGCATCTGGTTCTCCTCAGCCCCTCAAGTCGGGTAGGGAGCCTAGCCCTGTCCTGGGGCCACTCTGTTCCCACTACAGCCCTTGAAGAGAGGCCCTTTCTAAAGCTGCTTTTGCAAGTGAAGACTTGGAGAGGCTCAGAGATGCCAAGAGACCTGTCCACAGTCACGTGGCTGCTGGAGGGAGGATCTGAATCCAGGCCACCTGGCTCCCAAGGGCACAGTCCTCACCCCAGAGACAGGGTGAGCCCTACCCACACAAGGGCGCCATTTCCAGACAGGCAGCCTCAGGGGCTGTTTCTGCCACCCGCGCCCCTGGCAGGCTGGGCCGGGGCCTCACCCACACCTGCCGCCCACACCCAGGCTCTGGACAGCAGCCCAGGGCTGTCACTGCCTGGCCCGCTGCACTTTGTCCTTCCAGGCGGCCCTGCCCTGTGCTGGCTGGGGGCTGCTGAGTGACCCTGGGCTGCTCCCGCCTCTGTCCACATCTTAACGCTCTCTTCCTAGCACGAGGGTCTCGAGAAAACACCAGGTGGGCGGGGTCTCAACGCTGCTCAGAGGTTCCCAGATCCTGCAGAACAGACGTGAATTCTCTCCCTCAGCCCTGGATTCTCGCCTCCTTAGGTCTCTGCCTTAGGATGTCACCTCATCCGAGAATCTCTGGTCCTCTCATCTCTGATCTCTGCCTGACAGTCTCTATCATCTGTGTCCCCTGTCCCCAACAAGTCAGGCCCCTTTGTCCCCTTTGTTCATGGCTGTGTCCCGGAAACAAGAACAGTGCCAGCCCTTAATAGGTGCTCAATGGCTGTTTAATAAACACATCTAGAACTCACACAAATGCTTGATGACAACTAACACTGATAGGTTAGCTTGGGCCCCAGACTCTGCTTCATTTTCCACCCTGTGTGGTTCTCTGACCTCCTGAGATGGACCCTGATGATTATGCTTTTGACAGATGCTAAAACACAGGCACAGAAAGGTGGAGCTACCCACCACAGGTCACACAGCAACTAAGCAGAGAGGCTCACATTTGAGCCCAAGTCCTCCCAAGTTTTTAACCTCATTTAAAGATGAGAGAACAGCTAAGCTGAACAAAGCAGTGTGGCTCAAAGGTTTGAAAAAAAAAAAAAGGTGGGGGAAGATATAAATAAATGTGCGTACTCTATGTACTCAGAGGTTTCTCAGGAGACTGTGGTGGCCTCTAAAGACAGGACTGGGGGCCTGGGACAAGAGGAAGCAGAGATATTTCACATCCTTTCCTCTTTACGAAAGGTTTCATTCTTTTTCTTTATCATGAACTGTTTTATCATGAATTGTTTATTATGTTTATCATGAAATTCAAAACATAAACTCTGAACTAGGCAAAAGCTGAACATGTGGAAAACTCCACAGCCAGGAAGAGTATGTGGAGGTGCAATTGCTTCTTCGGTCTCTAGAGGCCTTGCCACCAACCTAATAGCCCAGACCACCGGGGACTCCCTCCCCCATAAGTCACCTCCTTGCTGGGTGGCCTCAGCTTCCAGCCCTGGAAACCAAGACTGGAAACTGGCATTTATTCCACATGTGACACCTGAGAGCCAAAACAGGAGCAAGGGAACTTCCCATCACTGGGATTAACCAAGCAGTGACTTAAATGACATAAACCTCCACACCACTGTCTCCTCCTTTCCTTCACTGAGCACACCCTCAAGACTTACCCTGTAGCCTCCTCATACCATAAAACTCAGGACACACACACACACACACACCTTCCTAAACTATGTCTTTGAAGCAACCTGGCTAGGGAATGAGTCCCGGGTCTGTGGGATTTGTATGGTTTCCCTGTAGTCCCTCCTTCCTCAGTTTCATCCAAGTGAATAAAAAGTTGTGGGCCTCATATACAGCTCAAGGACAAGGGATATAGCTCTGTGGCACAGGGACTGCCTGGCAAGTACAAGGTGGTGAATTCGATTCCCAGTGCCAAAAAAAGAAAGGAAGAAAGTTCTATCTTGGGTTTCATTTTGCTTTACAAAATTACTCTAAGGTTCCCCCCATCTCTGATAAAAATCACAATACTTGTACTTTTTTTTTTTCTTTTATCAGTACTGGGGATCGAACTCACGACCACGCACTTGCAAGGCAGGCGCTTATGTTGCTGAACTAAATCCTCTACATTATTTGTACTTACAAAAAACAAAAAAACCTTGAGTTTCTTTTCCTTCAATAATTGGAGGTATTCCCATCTTCACGCTTGGCCAATGCCAAACTGTTTGACTTTAATATGCAATTTGCTTAACTTCTATGTGCCTCAGTTTCCCCAGCTTAACAGTATGGACACTGGACCATAACAGCATGGACCTTAGAATTGTGGTGGGGATTTGACAGGCTCAGAAACCTAGCACAGTCTACAGGACAAAGCAGACAAATACCTGACCACATGGTCTTACTTTTTTGAAAAAAAGGTAAAAACAAAAATTTCTACCATGGTTGTAAGAAGGAAAGGCCCTAAATTCTTCCCAAGTCTTTTCTGCCCCCTGATTCTGACCTCTGCCCTGCTTCCCTGTCTTCCCAGAAGCCTAGCTCCCAGCCACAGCGGACACCCAACAAATATTTGTCAAACTGGGAGAAAAAGAACTATATCTTGTAATTTTCCATCTAACATCCTTTCTTCAACTGCCCCCAGGACTGTCCCAGCCAAAACGGCCCAGAACAGCCAATCCCAGCTTCTTTGCTCTTCTAAAAGGAGGATCTGCCCCAGGCTTTCTTCTTTTCGAGCCTCAGTTTCTCCAGCTAGGAATAGGTCCAGGATCACTTTAAAACCCAGCTAGCCTAGGGAAAGGGTCCCCAGCCCGTAAACTTCTGCAGGACCACCGCCAAGAAACAGTCTTTCAGGAGGTGGAAGTAACCCCCTCTGCTGGGACAGGCCACCCCCCACCCCCAGGAGGTGGAGGCTAGGTCTGGCCAAAAGCGGGGGCCCCAGTGCAGGGCCAGGGCACTGGCTGGGGGTGGGGGCAAGAGGCCGGCCCAGACACTGCTCCTGCCCTTTTACGGTCGGTCTCGGGCGAGTGAGGCAGCACTAACTCGGACATCCGCCATCCGCCTTCCACCGGGCTTGGGACCGGAAACGGCAGGGGGCGGGGCGGGGCTGGGGGCAGTGGGAGAGAGGAGTCCCCAAGGAAGAGGGTGAAGGAGGACCAGACTCCAGCAAACTGGCCCCGCATCGGGGACTGGAACGTCATTCTCCCGTGGAAGGGGTAGGCAGTTAGTTTTGAGGGTGCCTGGCTTGTCCCCTCGCTCCAGATCTTCCAACAATTCCTTTCACACCAGAACCTCCCTGATTCCTAAAAAGGAATGTCACCCTGGTGTCAAAGGGCAGGAGTGCAGGGAATGTAGGGGGAAAGCGGAGGGTGTGAGCATCAGGGGGTTAATCCCAGCGGTCCCCAGGGGCCTCCTTCTCAGGCCGGGGGCTTGGGGGCAGGAAGTCCCAGAGAGAGTGGAGGAAGGGAGATAATATTGTCAGGCTCTAGACCCAAGGGAGCGATTATGGGGGATCAGAGGACTGGGGGTGGAAGTCCACCCAGCACAGGCCTTGCCCCCAGGTGAGCCCAGAAGGCCCAGTTAAGACAAAAATCCAGGGTCCCTTTAGGCGCCTCACCCCCAGGATTAAATTCCTGGGAAGATAGAAGGAACTGTCTAGTGAGCCTGGGTCCCGGGGAGAAAGCTATGACCTTGAAGCTCTCCAGTGCCCCCTCCTCCAATCCTTCGGCTCCGGAAGGCTGGGAGGGGGGTTAGAGGGAGGGGGTGCCGTGGGGAAGGCAGCCGGCTCGCTGAGCTCCTGGCCCGCCCCCCACACCAGCTGTCTCGACAGGTGAGTCAGGAAGACAAAGGCCCCCTCCCCCAGCTGCCGCGCCCCCTCCCTCTCCGCGCCGTCAGGTGGGGGAGAGCTGCCGCCCTTCTGGCCCCGGGCCGGGGAGCCGCCCTCGGCACCAGACGCTAGCTCGTCCTAGCCATGGCCTGGGTTGAGCAGATCGTGGGTACGGAGCGAGAGGAAATAGAAGTCCCAACCAAACCCCGGATCTGCCTCTATAACCTCAGTATTGGGGACTCAGTGACCCCAAAATGCAGGAGACCAAAAAGTACCCCTTAAGTTAAGGAGCGCAGTCCCTCTCGGGGGATCTTTCCAGGGCCACAAAAACAGGGAACCCTACCTATCAGGGTCTGTGTCTCAGCGTCTCTTTTCAAGTCTCGGGGTGTCCCAAATTGCCCCCTATCCCTTCCAGGACCTCGACTTGTGGTGTGGAGAAATCTGAGCCCTGCTCAAATCCCAGCATCCCCACGGGGAGCATCTGCTAACTTGGACATCCTCTGAGAAAGTCTTCAAAATTCGGGAGTCCTCAGAGCGCCCCCAAATCCGAGAGCTCTCAAGAGAATCTCACAGGCACCGCCCTGAACTCTGACAGCCATGGGCAGGCGGTCAAACGTTAAAGAGTTCGTCTGAGGGGGTGAAGCCCAGAGCCGAGCCCACCCTCAAACCTGCTCCCCAAATTCCAGCACGGAGCGAGGGGGGAGGGGACAAAGGGGGCGCGCACGGGTCGGCGGGCGGCGCGGGGCTCACCTCATGGCTGCGCGGCGGGCGGGCGGGCAAGCGAGCCCACCGGGCGGTGCTCCCGGGGCGCCCCTGGCTCGCGGTTCAGGGGTGCGCGGCTGGCCTGGGTCTGCTCAGTCTCCCCCAGGGTCCCGCCCCATAGAGTCCGGCTTCCTGGGGGAAACGTGGTCTGGGCCGGAGCGGGTCCTCGAGCGCTTTTTCCTCTCCGGTAGTCTGCTGGGGGTGATCCCTGCGACAGAAAGGGGGTGCGGCGTCCCCTCCGCGGCGCGCCCCCTTAGCCGGCGGCGGCTACAGTGTTACTCTTACTACTGTACTTCTGGCTCCAAAATTCCACTCCCCGCACCCACAATGCCCCGCGCCTTAAAGCGGCCGCAGACGCCGCAGGCCTGGGGTGGGGGCTGGTGGAGCGCGCTTAAAAGGGCAACGCGGAACCCTGGACTTCCGCAATTTCCCTTTCTTAACTTTATTGCATAGGTGAGCACCAGGGCCTCACCCCCAAATTGGAGGTCGAATTTGATGCAGCAAGGATGGTTCCTGGGTCTCTTGTGCTCACGTCATGTGGGAATTCTTAAGGGGATCACAGAGGGGCACAATTTCTCCCGTCCTACTCTCCCCAGTGACTTCTCCATTTAATAGTCTCAGTTTGGGGAGGCGGGGAAAGTCCTCTGTTTAAGCAAGGGCTATCGTAGATTTTCTCCCTTTTCTGCCACATTTGGATGCCTGTCCCACCCCATCATTTTCTGTTTCTGAAGGATTACTAAGGGTAAGACCCCACCCTCGTACGGGAGGGGTAAGATGAGGGCCGCACCCTCATTGCCCGTGGAAGGTGAGGAGGAAGTGGGACGAGGGGGCGCGGCGGGCCGCTGACTCACAGCCGCAGGGTCGGAGGTGGGTCGGGGCAGGGGTGGGGGCGGGGATTGGCGGGCACAGCAATGGTGGGGGTTGCTGCTCCTGTCCAGGCGAGGGAGGACACACCAGGCTCTAGGGTGGACAAAGCACCTGGCCCCTTCCCCATGCAAGTCCCGTAGGACAGAGGACTATCGTAGCCACAGCGCGGGCATAGAGACGAAGAGTCCCTTCCCCCACACGCCGGCTCCAGGTGGAGACTTTACACCCTACAAGTCTTGGGCTGTGAATCCTGCAGGTCCCGCCCCGCGTGACGTCACTGTTGTGACCACACCCCGTAGACACCACCTGGTCTGGGTGAGGTGGTTTATTTATTTATTCGTTTGTTTTGTTTTTTGAGACAAATGGGATTTGTCTCAAATGCTGGGATTACTGGCATGCACCACCACTCCTAGCATAGGTGAGGTGTTTTGAAATGAGTTCCAATTTGACAAATCTGTAAACTGAGGCCTGCGGGCAGAAAATGAATGGCCTAGAATCTGACCCATGACCCTCTTTCCTGAGTTCCAGAGCCCTTAAACCCAAAGTGTGAGTGTAATGCAATTCTTTAGGGCTCTGACTGAGCAGATGAATCAAACTTCCTATGTTTTGTTCAAGAAGAGCCACCACCTCCTACCCCAGACCTTAGGGGGGAACCTTACCCTTCTAGGCCTTATATTGACATTAATTCTGCTCTAAAGAACAGGAACTCTCTCCCTTTCTCCTTGCCGCTGTGGGAGACCTTGAACCGAGATCCACTTAGGTTATTGAGCCCAGATCCACTTAGGCTATTGAACCCAGATCCATTTGTCTCTTGAGGTTTTCAGTTCTTTGGAGCAATTGGTAGAATTTGTCCCATTCTGGGCCTCACCCACCCAAACCAGGCTGAGGACAACGGCTCAAAAACATTTATCCAGCAGACAGGGACCACAGTTCTGTAAGACCTAGGTCAAGATCTTTCTCCAGTCTTAGCTTTCCCATCTGTGAGATGGGATGAGTGCTGTTTCTGGGTGCCACTTGCACTATAGCCAATGTTGGTAAACTTTCTGTGAAAAGTCCAAATAGTAAATAACTCTCAGTATGTTGGATATAGGTCTGTATCACATATACTTTTTGCTATGCTGGAATTGAATATGCATATATATGCATAAAGCCCTGTATTCAATTTTATTTTTTGGTACTGGAGATCAAACTCATGACCTCACTCTTGCCAAAGAGGCGCTTGTACCACTGAGCTAAATTCCCAGTCCCTTATATAAAAAATTTGAACAATCCTTTAAAGTATAAAAAGCATTCTTAGGATCTAGCTCCATGGCACAGCTCCTGCCTGGTAAGGCAAAGTCGTAAGTTTGGTCCCTTGTACCAAAAAAAAACACAAAAACTTGATTTAAAAAGCATGAGAGGGCCAGGGCCATGGATATAGTCCAGCAGCACAGTACCTGCCTAGCAAACACAGGGTCATGAGTTCAATTCCCAATACTAAACAAATAAAAAGCATGAGAGTTGCACAAAACAAGTAATAAGACCTGCCCTACAGAACTGCTGCATGTGACAAAACGAGAGTGATTAAGGATTGTTACTGCAATGCTGAGGTGAGAGGGAGAAACTGGAAGTAGCTAAGTGCACCTCGTAAGACAGAGGATGGTGAAACCTGTGTACATCCCTTGTCTGAAGTGCTGGCCAGCAGTTAGGGTGAGGTCTGCCCCAGTAGTGCTGCACATCTGTAATCTAAGGACTTTGAGAGCTTGAGGAAAGAGGCTCAGATATTTGAGCCTAGCCTGGACAGTTCAGTGATTTAGACTCTCTCAAAATAAAAAGAAATTTTTTAAAAAGTCTAGGTAGGGATGTAGATCAGTGTAAAGGGCCAGGCCTCAATTCCCAGCACAGAAGGGAAAATGGGGAAGAGTGAGAAAGAGCAAGGTTGGTTGCAAATGACATGGGTGAAGTTTTTATTTTTTTGGAGACAAAGTTTCTCCTTGTAGTTCAGGCGGACCATGAATTCACTATGTGGCTCAGGGTAGCCCTCAATGTATGGCCATCCATCAGCCTCAGGCTCTCGAGCACCACCTAAATGTGGGTTTTTAAATGATAATTATTTTATTTATTATGTTTGTCTTTTTTGAGTCAAGGTTTCATTATGCAGTTCAGACTGGCCTTTAGTTCACTTTGTAGCCTAGGCTAGTTTTGAACTTGCAATGGGCCTCAGCCTCCTGAGTGCTGGGATTACTGGCATGAGCCACCATGCCCAGCCTTTAGTGTATTATTGAGTGAAAAAATGAAGTTGTCAGAAGATAGGTAGGGCATGGAAGAATCAAGCAACGCCTGAGGCATAACACATACACATGTGCAGAGTAAAATGCCTGCCAAAACCACTTCAAACTTACTGCTGTGGTTACCGATGGCAGGGGGAGGGAGTGTAGGAAATGTGGTGGTCACAGATAGCTCAGACCTCATCCAGAAACTGTCAAATTCAGTCCTGCTCTTAAGTCTCTGGGCTGGCTATTCCCTCTGCCTCTGGGATATTCTTCTCCCCCCAGGGCATCTGTGCAGCTGGCTCCTCTCCTGTCAGGTCTTTGCTCTGTTGTTCGGATCCCACTGTCTGTCAGCGCTCAGCTGGATGCCTCAGTGGCAGAAGGATAGGAGGGTAAAGATTGTATACCATCTTATACCCTTTGAATTTCAAAATGAATGTGTGAATTAATCATTCAAAACCTAAATGAATGAAATAAAAAATAAAAACAGCAACCAAGCATATTCTTTTATTTTTGGGTGGGGTCTTGCTCAATTGCTCAGAATGCCTCCTGAGGGCTATTCTCCTGCCTCACCCTCCCAAGTCCCTGTGACCTTGGACATACATGCAACTAGCTGGCTTCTTTTTGGATTTTTGGAACAGAGTCTTATTATGTAGTCAGGGTGGCCTTGAACTCAACTACCCTCAAACTCACAGCAGTCCTCCTGCCTCAGCCTCCTGAGTCCTGGGATTATAGGTGTGTACTACCACGCCCAACATAGTCTTTTTTTTTTTTTGAGACAGGGTTCAGGCTGGCCTTGAGCTCACTTTGTGCTAGGATTATAGGCTTGAGCTACCACACCTGGCAACATAGTCATTTTTAAAAGATATCCTATTTTTCTCATAATACTTGTTACTGTCCGGAATGATCTCAGTAAATTGGCCAGGCTCATACTTGTAAATAACACCTGACGTTCCCCCTTACATAATTCCTGCAAGGGCCAATAACTTGTTTTTAGTAACAACATATTAGGAGTTACTTAAATAATTAAAATCTAAAACTTCAAACTCTCTCCTACTGCTGTTCAAAAAACATGACAAATAGGAAGGAAAGAGAAGGCTGTTGAACTGAGCAATCTTTTACAATCTGTTCAGGTCAATTTCTTTTTTTGTTTTGTTTTGTACCTGGGATCAAACTCACTGCTTTGAGTTTGCCAAGCAGGTACTTAAGCAGCTAAGCTAAACCTCCGGCCCTACTTCAAATTTTAAAAAAAAAAAATTTTAGGATGTTTTTGTTGTTTTGTTGTTGTTGTTTCATTTTGCCTGTATAGTAGTGGAATTTGCCCTCTCATGAGTCTGTTCTGTGAGGGGGAAGTAGGAGAAAGGGAAAGAAATATTCCGGGGTTCCTCCATTGGCTTGTCTTCCTTTTGCTGGTCCATGTTGCTAGGAAGGGGTAGTTTTCTTGTTTGTCCCCAGTTCAGCAGCCAGTCCAGGTTCCCAAAGAACAGTTGTCAGGCTTCCAAGTTCAAGGCAGAGTTCAAATAAGAACTCTGGGTTCCTGGGCTCCACCCTCCACCTTCTGCAACACAAAACCAGGGCAAGGTGAAGAAAATCCCTTTTTGTCACTAGGAACCTGCTCCCCAGCCTCCCCCCTCAATTTCTCAATCCAAGTTTTGGTGGAGTGGGTCCCAAATGCCAGTTGGATATGTGATCCCAGCCTAGCCAATCAGAGAGTCTGGGAGCAATGGGAACCAGCTCTGGCACCAGCTGCCACTACCAGGAAATTGGCAAGCCTGTCCACTTGAGGGGACAGCAGGCTCAGGGATCTGAAGCTGGAAATGCAACTCCTGCTGCCTCACTAGGGAGACCCTGCAGGGAAATAAAGCCAATTCTACGAGAATAAAATTTGACCAGGGTTCCTAATGACATCATGTGGTGGATGACCAGAGGCAAGACTGCCTTAAGTCCCTGAAGTCTTCAGTTAAGTGGCCCAATAAATTTCCTGCTTTGCTTTCCCAGATTTCTGTCACTCACAGTTCAGCGAATCCTGCCCAGTATCTCCTGCGGCTGAGAAATTACCAACAACTCTTCTTCATTCGCATGATAATAACCAAACTCCCTTCTCTGCCATGCAGAGGCCATGGGCTCTGGCCTTAGCTTCTTCCCTCATATTTATTTTCTCCCTGCCCTTCAACCCCTGTCTTATGTCCACTTTGCTACCTCTCCAGATTTCAGCCATCCAAGCCCAATTACAGCCTCTCCCTTCCATCCAAAACTGGGACATTTTCAGGGTATCCTGGAGGTGTCTACTGTGCAGTGAGGCCTTGGAAGGGGTCATTGACATTTCTAGAGTTTTCATGTTTGGGGTGTGCTTGTGATGATGGGACTTTCCAGAGCACAACAGAGCCTACATTTCTTGGAGGGAAAGCACAGCTTTTCTCTGCATCTGTATTCCTCTCCCACGCCCCATCATGCCTCACATAGTACTATACAGGGCCATAAGGACATATTGAGACACTGGGCAAGTTCCTTGTCATCATGGACTTCAAAGTCCCTATCTCTGAGAGGTGAAGGGGTGCTGGATTACCTGCCCCTTTCAGTAACATAGGTTAAACCAGTCATGGTAGTGTATACCTGTAATCTAAGCACTTGGGAGGCTGAGGCAGGCAGTTCACCATTTTGAGTTTGAGTCCAGCCTGAGCTACATAGTGAGTTCAAGACCAACCTAAACTATATAGCAAGACCCCGTCTCAAAAAAAAATTGGGGCTGGGGACTTAGCTCAGCAGCATAAGCACCTGCCTTGCAAGCAGATGGTTGTGAGTTCGATCCCCAGTACTGATAAAAAGAAAAAAAAAAAATTGCACACAGGTGGGCGTTTTAAGTGGGCATGGTGGTGCAACCCTATAATCTAAGCACTCAGGAGCCTAAAGCAGGAGGTTTTGAGTTGAGGCCAATATAAGCTACATAGGGAGTTCAAGGCAAGGCTGAACTGCTTAGTAAAAACCAAAACATAGGGGCTGGGGATTTAGCTCAGCATCATAAGCGACTGCCTTGCAATCAGGCAGTCATGAGTTCCATCCCTGGTACCGGATAAAAACGAAAAAGACCAAAAACAAAAAACAAAAAACACAGGGCTGGGGATTTAGCTCAGAGGCATAAGCACCTGCCTTGCAAGCACGCAGTTGTGAGTTCGATCCTTGGTACCAAAAAACAATAAAAGTAAAATAAAATCCACTATTCCAGGGGTTCTTTAAAAATAACAAAAACAAAAACACAGGTCCTAGATTAGAGATATAGCTCAGCACATGCCTCAAATGTGCAAGGCTCCAGGTTCAATCAGCAGTGCTGCAAAAAACAACAAACAAAAAAACAATAGAGGATGCTTACCTCCCAACACTCTTCTGAGATCTGGTGGAGCCGAGAATAAGCTTCAGCAATGACAGTGGCCCTGGGGAGCAGAGGAAAGCCCTCAGGAGGGGACCCTCCTCCTGTCACTCCTCCCTCAAATCCTTGACTCAACTCACTTGCAGTGCAGGCCTCCCCCAGGAGGTAAATCAGGGATGTCCTCAGAGGCCAGAGTCCTGAAGACCGAGTTTAGGCTGAGGGGCTCCTGAGCAGATGCACACAGCTCTGAGAAAGAGGTCAGGGTTATGGGGGAGCCCCTGCTCAGCATCACCCCTTCCACTGGGCTTTGGACTCTGCTCACCAGCAACTCTGTGGCCCAGGGCTGCATCCAGTGCTAGCTCCCTCTTGATGGCCTCCTCACAAGGCCCGGGGGCCCCTGGGAAGCAGACCACGATGCAGGTCATGTTATCCAGGCTGCCCTGAAGAAAGTAGAGAAAGGGGAGCCTGGTGGGAGAGGCTGGAGGCTCTAGCATAGGGTTTCATGCCTTGGGAAGGATGATTTCCCAGAAATCCTACTGTCTGAGTCCCTCACTTATCAGGTTATGCTCGTCTCTCTCTAGTCTTGCCCATCTGCCAGTCTGAATCAAGCGGAACAGATCCGCAAACCCAGCACTCTGGGAGGATGGCAAGTTTGAAGGCAGCCTGAGCAAATTGAGCGATTTAGGGACAACCTGTCCCAAAGTCAACAACAACAAAAGGGGAGAGGGAAGTGACCCATTGGGGATGTAGCTCATTACAAGACCCTGAGTTCAATCCTGAGTATGAACAATAAGTAAATAAACCAAGATCTCTCCCACTTGGAGAAACTGTTCGGCCACACCCTCCCCCTATCTAGGCCTGCCTTGTTACTAGGACTACATATATTATCTGGCTTGTCTACTCTGTTGTCTGCTTTTTTTCCTTCTTTATTTCTTTATTGGTCTTTCTGAGACAGGATTTTACTGTACAGTTCAGGCTGGCCTCGAACTCGAAGTGATCCTCCTGCCTCAGCCTCCCAAGTGCTAGGATTACAGGCATGAGCCAACAGGCTTGGCCTTTTTCCACCTGTTCTTGCATCTTCTGGCACTCTTTGTTACCAAAACCCCAGCCTCTACCTGAAAGCACCCCCCTCATGCCAAAACCACGCCTACTCTCTTACGTCCCTCCCACCTGTCTATTTAGCGCCATTTTCCCCGGTCTTCAGCATCCTCCAGGCTCCATCCTCACTTTATTTGTCCCGCCCAATCCTAAGAGCCACGCCTCTGGGTCGGGCCTCACCTCCTTGCTTTCTGTCACAGCCTCTGCTCCCCTAAACAATGAATCCTTCCTTTCCTTTGCTCCAAGATTCAGCTACTCTACACCCCGCCCCAAGACCTTGCAAAGGCACGTGTCCAACAACTGCGCGCAGAGAAGCTCCGGGGCCAGGCCTAGACGGAGGCGCGATGCCACCAGTCCCACCAGTGCAGCTGCAGACATCGTGTCCCACACGCCATCCGAGGCCAGGAGGATGAACTCGTCCTCTCCCCGGCGAGCTAGCGCAGCCACCTCAGGCTCCGCGGAAACCAGCTGCAGCTCAGGGGGCCTCCCTGGAGCCTGCTTGTAGGCAAAGTCGCCCAGGGCTCGCGACACTGCCAAAGAGCCTTCGACACGCCGCAGGCGGATGGTGCCACCCGCGTCGTAGATGCGTTCGCGTTCCCGCGGCCGGAGAGGCCGGTGGTCCTCGGTGCTAAAGGCCACGGCGCCGTCGCGACTCAGCACCGCGCGGGAGTCACCACAGTGAGCCAGATACAGAAAGCTTGGGGAGACGAGCAACGCCACTGCGGTGGAGCCACCAGGTTCGCCACGGGGCCACAATGCGCGCAGGCGCTCGTCGGCGTTCAGGAAAGCACGGCGCAGCGCCCCGCGGACCCCCTCGGGCTCGCAGGGCGCCGGGCCCAGTTCCTCAACCACGTGGCCAGGCAGGTAGCGCGCGCCAAAGTGGGCGGCTCGCGCTCCAGCGTGGCCGTCGAGGACAGCAAAGAAAGCCCAGCCCGGGGGCAGCCCGGGTAACGCCAGCCAAGCGCAGTGCGCGTCCTCCATGCGCGCGCGCCAGCCTTGCGCTGCGCTGGCCCCAAAGCGCAGGCCCCACGAGGCTGCGCTACCCCCGTGTGGCCTCTGAATGCATCGCGGCGCAGCCAGGAGAGACTGAGGCCCGTCGGGGACTCCATGCTCCGCCTCCTCCTCCTTCTCAGCCTGTACTTCCTTTCGAGCGGGCCAGAGAAGACACTCTAGCAGCCGACACAGAGCCGCCATCCTCCTCCGGGGATTGAGAAGACTCCACCCTCAGCAGCTGCCTCCCGCACCCCCAGTTAATCCCTCCGCTGTGAAAATTTAAACCAAGTGAATCTCTTTCCTGCCCCTTGACCTGCACTCAAGTCGGGTCACTCCTGGGTTTTCTGTCTGCTGCAACTTGCACGTTGAGTTTGGGAACTGGGTTAGGAAAAAGTGTTAATAGTAGCAAACTCTTACATATCACATACTACTTGCCGTAGTTAGTACATCACCAACGTACAGCACAGGAAAGTAATTCCTGTTATAGAAGCTGTTATAGTGATGTTATAGAGGAATAGGCTTTAGAAACTGTTCTCAGCTCTAGAAACTGTCCTTCAGGTCCAAACCGGGCTCCGCCCACCTTCGTGGTCCAGCCTCCAGCTCCAAAATTGATAAACAGCATTTTCCCAATTCCTCGCCACTGGGTCCTCTCCCCAGGCTCCGTCCGATTGCTCTCTCTTCAAGGTGCTGCTCATCCACTCGAACCTTTCCATTTTCTCACTCCTGGCCTTGTCTCTGACTCTGCCTCTTAATTCCATCCTAACCCCCAAATTAACTACTTAGTACTGAAAGCCGGGTTAAGTCACCTTCTGGGCCGCGCCCCCTCCCCTGCTCCTCACTTCTTCCCTCTTGGCCACGCCTCTAGTTCCGGCCCAGTCTAATCCTGGGAATAATCCTACCTAGGTGTCAGACCCACTGTGTCGCGCTTCTCCCCTTGTCTTCAAAGTTGCTGAATACTTTCTTTTAGCCCCCTTTCCGTTCCTTCTGAGAATCCAACCTCGGGTCCTACCTCAGAGCACTAGATTCATTCTAGCCCTTCCTCAATGCCACCCCTAGATCTACCGCGACCCATTCGGAGATCTTCGCCTCTAACCTCTCCGCCTCGACACCTTTACCATTCTTTCTCCAGCCCATCTGGCTCCAGGCTCTGCCCTTCCTTCTAAAGGCCACGCCCCCTTCTTTCTAGACTCCACCCTTTAGATGGTTACGGCTCCATTCGGCCTTGTGATTGGCCCTGCTACCTGCACTCGCCAATAAAGAGGCCACGCCCCTCTCAGCGCTAGTCCGTGTTTCCCCGCCCCCTATGCCCTCCCTCAGGCCCCGCCTCTCCGGTTTTCCTGGCCCCGCCCCCGGTCCCGCGCTGCAGTGCCCGCTCCATCGCGGCCCCGCCCGCTCGCCCGCGCGGAGCCGAGCAGAGGGCGGCGGCGGCTGCTGGAGCAGCCCGGGAGGAGGAGGCAGCGAGGATGGCAACGTCGTCGTCGTGGGCACGGCGAGGATGAACAACCGCGGCCCCGGGCCCAGGGCGGCGCGGCCGGAGTGGGCGGGGGTCCCGATGCAGGCCCGAGGGGGGCCATGGGGCAGGTCCTGCCGGTCTTCGCCCACTGCAGTGAGTAGAGGGAGGCTCGGGCCTCGCGTGGGGCCCGGAGGCCAGAGGAGGGTTCCCCTGGTCCCCCCCACCCCACCCCGCGCCTTGCCGCAAAAGAGCCGGGATGAGGGAAGGAGGCGAAGGAGACAAAGGAAGCTGTCCCATCCCCCCTCTCCCTGAGCCCTGGCGGCAACGGGGGGAACCTGACCCGGAGGACCCGGGTGAAACCGGGCGGAGGAGGGGGCCTCTGAGATCGCTGGCCATGGGCGCGCTGGACGCTGGGAGGTGTCGCCCCGCCCAGCCTGGGGGTGAAGCGGCGTGCGGGGAGCTGTCCCTGTGCCCTGGTGCTGGCCACAGCTGGCTGGAGGGGGTCTAATGGAGGGGTAAAAGGATAGTGAAGAGGGGTCTGACTCCCATCGACTGTCTTTGTATCCCACTCTCATCTCCTTCCCGGGAGACATCGTTAACCTCGCCCAGTTGTCCAAGCCCCTGTCCCCGGAAAACAGCCACCACTGGGTTGGTGCCAGGTCTCCGGGTCTTTAGCGGGCTTTTCCGATCATTAGCGTTAACCCTGGGGAAGAACTACTCCACTCCAGGCCTTTGATTCCCCAGTTGAAGAAATGGGGTGGGGGCTGGAGGTCTGATTCAATTTCCAAATGGTGTCAAGCACCACTGATCATCTCCTGTGTGCAGGGCTCAAGCCAGCTCTGAGGGGATGGAGCCCCGGCTGAAAATACCAGCTTGGATCTGTGGATCTCTGAGCCCGGTCTCTGGCAGACCTTGTTTACCATCCTCTGTCCCACACAGGGTGGTTCTGACAGCTGGGGATGGCAACATGCTCAGATGTGGTCACTTGCATGTCTTGAATGTCCAAATACCCAAATCCTAAGGATTTGTGATTTCAACACTTTAGAGTTTCATTCCTAATTCTAAGATCTCATTCTTACCTCAGATTACAAAGTCCCCATGGTCCCCTCCAGTCATGCCTTCACACGTTGGGGTTCTTCATAGACACCAAGCCTAGTGCTTATCTCAGGATCTTTGCACTGTCTGTGCCATCTACATGGAAGACTTTTCCCTAGGTGTCTTCATAGCTTTCTCTTTCCCTTCCAGTCTCTGCTTAAATATCATCTTATTAGAGGAGTCTTCTTGATCACCGTGTCTAAAACAGGACTCCTTCTTTTTCTCTTCCCTTATCCTGCTTTATTTTTGTCCCCACTTATTAGGGACCTGAACTTTGTTTATTGTCTTTCTAGTAGACTGTAAACTCTACGAGGCAAGGATTGTCTGTTTTGTTCATAGCTACATTCCCCAGAACCCAGAACAGTGTCTGGCATATAGTAGGTGCTCAATGTTAAAAGAGTGAATTGAAACCTCCCGAGATCCCTAAGTTAAAGACTTTTTAAGATTAAGATTCCTCGTTATGAACTTGTAAGACTCTGAGCTTCTGACAGCACAGTGTGTATGCAGAATGTCCTAAAGGTCCTATCAACCAAATATTCTAAGATTCCGTAATTCGGACCATCCGAGATTCCAAGACTGGCACGCTTCTGTGATTCGGACAGTCTAAGCTTCTAAGAGTCTTCGGTTCTTTCCTTCTCGCAGAGGAAGCTCCATCTACAGCCTCTTCTACCCCCGATTCCACAGAAGGTAAGTGGAGGGGTGGGTGCGAGGGCAGGGCTACAAGGGCTTCACTGTGATCCAAGAAGCTCATGGCCCTGCTTTGCCCTCCGGAGGAGGCAACGACGACTCGGATTTTCGGGAGCTGCACACAGCCCGAGAATTCTCGGAGGATGACGAGGAGACCACTTCGCAGGGCTGGGGCACCCCAAGGGAGCTGACCTTCTCCTACATAGCCTTCGATGGTGTCGTGGGCTCAGGGGCCCGCAGAGATTCAGTTGCCCGACGCCCTAGGCCCCAGGGCCGCTCAGTCTCTGAACCTCGAGACCAGCCCCCACAGCCTGACCTGGGGGACAGCTTGGAGAGCATCCCCAGCCTGAGCCAATCCTCAGAGCCTGGACGCCACGGTAACCCTGACACTGTCCCTCCGGCTGAGCGTCCTTTGGACGATCTGAGGCTCCAGCTGGACCAGCTGGGCTGGGCTGCCCGCGGTGCAGGGTCTGGGGAGGACTCTGCCACCAGTAGCTCCACTCCGCTGGAAGATGAGGCACCTGATGGATTAGAGGCAGGAGAGACTGGAAAAGGTGAGGTGTCAAAGTTGCTGGGGCCTAAGCCACAAGGGTGGGTGGTCCCTCCTCCAGGTACCTCCAAGGAGAAAGCTCATGGCCTTTGCTCTCTGCCACTGACAGAATTGGACGTACAACCTCAACTTGCTTTGTCCTCGCCACCTGAAGTCGTGACTCCCCATCCCATTCCAATCTCCAGCTCTGGGACCCCCCAGGCCTGGATCCCGTCCCTACCCAGATCCCAAGACCTGAACTCAGGGCCTGAAGATCCCACACTGGAAGAGGAGCAAGAGTCTGGTGGACCACAGGAACGGGAACCAAACACTCTACAGTGTCTCAACAGCACCGACCAATCAGAATTCAGTCTGGGGCCACACCCTTTGGGTAAGCAACAAGTGCTTGGGGTCTCCATTGTGCTAGGTAGGGAGGGTAGAGGACTGGGATTTAAAGGAACAGAGGAGGGCGGTGGGGAAGGCAGAGGACATTCTAAATTCTGCCCTTTAAAAGTTTCCCCATTATCTGAGATTACCACTGGCTTTCTAAATAGTGCCTGGTCCCATTAAGAAATTAGTTTTTCTTGCAGCATTAACATTAGCTGATGGCTAAAAAAATTTTCTGTCTTTAGGAAAGCCCACCCTCCATGCTGATATAGACAGCCTAATATCTGTAAAAGTAAAGATCTTTCCTGGACGTGGATATGGGACTTCTCCAACTCTATACTTTAAAAAAAAAAAAAATTCTCCAGGGGTTGGAGGTTTAGCTCAGCGGCATAAGCGCCTGCCTTGCAAGCAGGCAGTCCTGAGTTTGGTCCTCGGTACGGATAAAAAGGAAAAAAACCAAAAAAAAAAAAAAAAAAAAAAATTCTCCGCTTCCCTGACCACATCTTATTGGTCAGTTGTAAATAGACCCAGCCTTTCTTTAAAATAGGCTCCACCCCCGTGGCCGGCCACGGGTCCGTTATAGACCTCGCCCTTGTTGGCTGTTTACAAAGACTTCCAATTTCGGAATTGTCCCCACCTCTACGGATGGTCATTGGCTGGGTACAAAGGAGTCCCGCCCCTCTACTCCCTCCCTCCGAGTCCCACTGTAAGTGGGCGAAATCCCCAAGAAGCAACCGTGTCTGCAGCCTCTCCCTCCAGCCGAGATGGGGAGTAAAGGTGGGCTTGCGGGGAGGCCTGGGGCAGTGGCTGGGGTACAACAGAAAGGGGTCCAGATTTGCCTTTATCTCCCTGCAATCCGGGGCGTGGTTCCTACTGGTCCCGGAGTCCCCAGCCTCGCTGGCTGAGGCTGGTGGGCTCAGGGAGGGGTCCCAGGAGGTTGTGGAGAGAATGTGGGGTCCACTTTCCACGAAGCCAGGGCTTTGGAGCCCAGGAGCGGGAGACCCCCTCCCCCAGCCTCGGGCCCAGGAGGCGCTGTCACTCAGGGGCTGGACAGGCCAGCACAGCTGCGGGCCAGGCCCCCTCCCCCCAGCGTGCCTAAACTTAGCCCCCGCCTCAGGCGACCCGGCCCCTCCCCCACCCCACGCGGTGGTTTGGGCTTGGAGAGCCTGTCTTAGCCTGGGGCGGGGAGCACCTTGTGTTGGGGACAGAGGGGGCTGCCCCACTTAGAGGTAAATGGGTGAATGTGTAAAGAAGGTGGAGCAGTCTGTTGGATGGGTCGCTTTGGCTGGGGGCCCCGGATAGTGGAGGAATAGAGAGATATGGAGCCCCAGGTTGGGCTCAGATGGCCTTGGGTCCTTCTGAGTGGGTGGAAATTTAGATGGGTGAGATGCAACATTGGATTGGAGGTCACTGGTCAGATCTCAGGCTGGAAGATGTTTAGAGTCAGAAATTTGAGTTAGGGCTTAGCAAGGAGATGCTGTTACAAATACATTTAGGGCTTCTGCGTGTTGGTGAGGATATCAAGGTGTTCCCACTCGGCACTGCTGAACTGGCAAGGATGAGAAAAACCACAGCACCCGATGCTGGACAGGATGTTGGGAAAAGATCACTCTTTTCCCTCCAGTTTGTGGAAATAAAAATCGTTAGTCTTAAACTGGCATGGGGGGTGCACACTTGTAATCCCAGTACTGGGGAGACTGAGACAGGAGGACTGCCAGGAGTTTGAGCCCATTATAAATTACAAGGCCAGCCTGGACTACATAGCAAGCCCCTGCTTCAGACAGAACAAAACAATTGTTAGTCTAACTGATAAGCAATCTGACAAAATATACCTATATACAAATAGGGTTAAAAAAACGCAGTTTATCAACCTAGCAATTACCTGTGCCAATTCTAACTCAGAAGAGAAGCTCCAGGAGATAAGAGGATCTGTGGAAGGATGTTGCATGCCATGCTCGGTTTTTTGTTTTGTTGTTTTGTCTTTTTGAGACAGAGTCTCACTATGTAGTTCAGGCTGGCCTTGAACTCACTTTGTAGCCCAGGCTGGTCTGAAGCTCCCAACGATCCTCCTGCTTCAGCCTCCCTGAGTACTGGGATTACAGGTATGAGGTACCACTGCTGGCTGCCATGCTGTTTTGAAGGAAGATGTTAGGAGACAGTGAATTATGCAGGAATAAGGCCGAGTTTGAATAGGCAAAGTATGAAAAATCATGTGTCTCTTATTTTTAGTTTTTCCTTTTTTTTTTTTAAACAGGGTCTCTGTAATCCAGCCCTCCTGCCTCAGCTTCCCAAGTATTAAGATTACAGGGTAGGTGGACCCCCACACCAGCTTCTTGTAGCTCTTCAAAACAATGAATCAAGAAGCTGAATGTGGCAGTGCCTGCCTGTAATCCCAGCTTCTTGGAGGCTGTGGCAAGGGAGATCACAAGCCTGAAGTGAGCCAGAGCAGCTTTGTGAGAACCTAAAACAAAAATAAATTAATAATAAATAAACAAATAAATAGGGCTAAGGATGTAACTCGGTGGTAGAGCATTTGGGTTCAATCCCCACTACCACAAAGAAAACCAAAACGGATTAAAGAACTGTTCAGGGCTGGGAGTTAGCTGAGTGGCAGAGTGCTTGCCCAGCACGCAGGAGGTCCGGAGTTCCAGCTCTAGTTCTGCAAAACAAAACAAACTTCCAGTTGGCTAAGAGGAAATTCTAGGAGGAAAAGTGGAATGAGATGTGTGTGATGCAGAAAGTGTATATAGGTATTTTTTCCCTCCAGTGTCCATTAAATAATGGCCAAGGTTCATGGATACACATTTGCATGTGTGTGTAATTAATTAATTACACAGGCAGAGTGAGGTTTAGAGGATTTGTTGAATGGTTCACTTAGGTTTTCTGGGAGGAGAAACGGGAGGCTGAAGACATGGAAGTTGGGTCAGGGCTCAGATGAAGCTCTTGTTAAGTCTGATCCAGTGGTGGGATGGGCAATGGGGGTCCCAGCCCCAGCCCGATGCCTGCCCCTGTCCCCAGTGGTGGACCTGCTGTACTGGAAGGACACCAGGACGTCAGGAGTGGTCTTCACAGGCCTCATGGTCTCCCTCCTCTGCCTCCTGCACTTCAGCATCGTGTCCGTGGCGGCGCATGTGGCTCTGCTGCTGCTCTGTGCCACCATCTCTCTCAGGGTCTACCGCAAAGTGCTGCAGGCTGTGCACCGGGGGGACGGAGCCAACCCCTTCCAGTGAGAACCCCTGGCCCTGAGCCCTGTCGCACCCAGCCCCGACCTGTAACCCTCTCACCATGACCTAGACCTAGGTGCTTCATGCTTATCCTGGCCCTGACCTGCCCTCATTTTTATTCTGGCCCGATTGTAAACCAGGTTCTGACCTCCCTCCCCAACCCCCAACCCTCAACTCTGATCCTCACCTCAACCTCATAATCCCTGATCTCTCCTGCTCCTGGCATTGCCCCAACCCCAAACCCGATGTGGTTTGATTCATCCTCGATCCTAACTCTGCTGCTCCTCCCATGCCTTATTTATTGCCCTGCTTTCAGTCACTTCCTCCCGGTCCCATGGGGACCGGTCCCGGTTCAGTGGGTCCCATGCACCCACTGAAGTGTCCTTACCTCTTTGTCCAATCAGGGCCTACCTTGATGTGGACCTGACCCTGACTCGGGAGCAGACAGAACATTTGTCTCAGCAGATCGCCTCCCATGTGGTCTCCACGGCCACACAGCTGCGGCATTTCTTCCTGGTAGAAGACCTCGTGGATTCCCTGAAGGTGACTCTAAGTCCCCCATCCTGGCTTCCCAGTGGTTACCTCGGTGCCCCATGGGGATGGGAGGATCCTGGCTGGGGACATTCCCAACCTGTAGACCCTGCTGACCATGCCCCTCTCCCGCAGCTGGCCCTCCTCTTTTACATCTTGACCTTTGTGGGTGCAGTCTTCAATGGCCTGACTCTTCTCATTCTGGGTGAGCGGGGAAACCTGCCAAGGGGGTGGGGGCAAGGTCAGGAGCAGGGTTGTTGGGGTTTGCTGGGGGACAGGGTTCCAGATGGAGCTGCGAGTCCCCTGGGAAAAACCTGAACCCCTCTTTGCCCACAGGAGTGATCGCTTTATTCACTGTCCCCCTGCTGTACCGGCAGCACCAGGTGGGTGTGGCGAGTCCCCCGTTACCAAATACAGGAGGTCAAACTGCCTCCCTCCATCCCCAGGGCCCCACAGACAGATGTCCCAGCCAGACCCAGGTGTGCCGACCACTGCCCCTCCTTATGAGAACTACCTCTAATTAATATGTCTCAGCCCCCCACCCTGATACTGGGGATTCCAACCAGGAGATATATCTCCAGTGCTTTTGTTTTTTATTTTCACACACGGTCTTGCTAAGTTGTCCAGGCTGGGCTGGAACTTGTGATCCTCCTGCCTCAGCCTCGAAGAGTGCTTGGATTATAGGCATGGGCCCCCACACTTGTGGCTAGACAGGCATTTGGACTGGTGTCTCCAGAAAGGTCAGGATCTAACTGCCCCGACTGACTGGTGGCCTATCTGAGGACTCATCCAATGTCTCACTTACTTACCTGTCCTCATCACAGAGCAAAAGCCTGCCTTATGTCTTTTCTCTTTCACACCTCCCAGCCAGAAACAGGCAGGTAGATGAATGCCTTTTCCCTGGGTGCCAGACACTGACACACACACACATCCCAGGTGGAGAAAGGCAAACCATGGCATCTGCTCCCATATATGTGGATCAAACTGCCACCCAGCCCAGCCCAAGACAGAAAGACTAAGGGAGGTCCTCATGCCCTGAAGCAGCCGGCATCCACTCCCATGCCACTCAGAACTGAATGGAATGGCACACTGGCATAACCAGGACCGAGGGACAAGGCAGACTGCCATAACACATCCTGCTAGACACACAGACCTAGCTAATTCTCCACAGGCCGAATCCAGATACTCCAAATTCAACTCAGTTGTAAATTAAACTAGTATCCAAATCAATCCATTGGCAACTTGCTACCCTCTACTATCATCCTACCCCACAAACACAAACTCACAGAAGGCTTAACCTGCTGCTGTGGAGTGGGTTTCCTGCCAGATACTGGAGTCCACTTGACATCAGTCTTATGCAGAGCAGGGCCTGAGTCACGTGCCCCACAGCTGGAGCTGTGGACCCCTGAGGGCATCCTACTGGGTTCAGAGTTGAAGTTGGAATTTGGAGGGAGAGGAGGAAGCCATCTCCTCTATGAATTTAGAAGACCTCTTTTCAGTTCCTTCTCTCACTCCTGCTTGATCTTCCCAGGCCCAGATCGACCAGTATGTGGGGCTGGTGACCAATCAGCTGAGCCACATCAAAGCCAAGTAAGCTCCAGGCTGCTGACAAGGGTAGGGGGCTGGGTGGGAACCTTTTCTTTCAACACACCCTGCCCCCAAGCCTGGCGTTGTGCCCCCTTCTCAGAACCAGTGGCAGACATTCCAGGCCATTAGGTGGGGAGCTGGGCCTCGCCTTGGTCACTTGGCTGGCCCCCTCCTAACTTTTTCTCAGTCTCCCGTGGTTCCTTCTCCATCTCTTGCCACACCCCCTGAGTCCAAGCATTTCTCCCTCAGGATCAGAGCTAAGATCCCAGGGACGGGAGCCCTAGCCTCAGCAGTAGCCACGGTCTCCGGATCCAAAGCCAAAGCCGAATGAAAAGGGGTCTCCCTGTCCGCGGGACGCCGCCCCCCTCCCGAGCAGCCCTCTGCCCCTCTTCCTCTCCCGTTCATCCTCATCTACTCCCCACCTCAGCCGCGAGCCTTTTCCCGGTTGGTTTGAGAATCACGCCCATCAGGGGAATCGCTCATTTGCCGTAGGGGCCAGGACTACATTTCCCAAGAGGCTTGCTCTAGGAGTCCGACAAAGACCAGGCACCTTGGCTGCGGGGCCTGCTGGGACTTGTAGTTGACTAGACATGGCACCGCCCTGCACTTCTGAGACTCCACTGCTCCAGGCGCCTTGAGGGGTTGGTGTCTGGAGGACGCAACCAGGCTCATTGCAGGGGCTTTGCATGGGGCCCGGGGAGGCCTGAGCTTGGATTTACACTGTAATAAAGACTCCTGTGGAAAACAAGGCCTTCTGTGCTTCCAGTCCTCTTTTTCCTGCACGGAAAAGCTTTAAGGGACACTCCAGACAAGGTTTCCAATTTCTGAGGAAAAAGCCACCTCTCGGTCTGTTTAGATTATGAATGATTGTGGGGAAGACACACATAACTCGAACCGAAACTATCCAAGCCTGGGCAGCCGTGTTCCGGTTCCGTGCTGCTGGCCGGCACCATGCATGGATCCCACACTGCCTGCTGTAGCCACCTCCTGCAAGATGCAGACTCGTGTTCCCCCCATATATATCCAAACTCTTTGCTCATACTACGGATTTCCAATTTGGGGATGTCCCCATTGCCTGTCTTCCCCAGGCCACGCACTTCCACGTGACCTCCATGTGACCCTGGTCTCCTACTCTGACACCCAGTTAGGAAGCCACAGCTAATCTACCACCCCATCAGCCATCCATAGCCAAGCACATGGCCTCATGGACTCTGGGTCCCAGGTTCCAAAATAAAACTGGTTAAGGAGGAAAGAGAGGGAGACCAGAGTTCAAAGATCCACTGACCTCTGGCTCTGCTACCTTCAGGCTAAGTGGTCTTGAGCAGGTAACTTCATATCTCAAACCCTCAGTCTCCTCAAACAGGATATTGTTACCTTAACCACACCTACATGAAAAGTCCTTGGAACCGAGTCTGGCAGAGGAGGTATGATCATAAAATACAGTGAGTGCTTGCATTTAAATTTTTTTTTTACTACAATAAAAACCTGTTTCCATTAATTCCCCTCAAACCCTCTCTTTCACTTTTTTTTTTGTCTTTTTCCTTTTTATCGGTACCAAGGATCAAACGCAGGCACTTATGCCACTGAGCTAAATCCCCAGCCCCTTCTCCTTCACTTTGAACACACTTATCCAATCATACCTGCCACTTTCTTTATCTATTTTAAAGAGAATCAAATCAAATCAAATAAAACAGAATAAAGTCAATCAAAACGAAACAGTGAAAGTGATACAGGACTTCAAAACTAGGTAATAGGAAATCAACAATGACTGCCATAATGCCTCTTGTTATCTTCAAAATAGCTGCCCATGCCATGAGACATGATAAAATCAAATCAAACAAAACAGAACAAAAATAAAACCAAAGCAAAACAATGACAGTGACACAGTACTTTAAAACAAGATAGTAAGAAATCAATGGCCTCTATCATATATCTTGTCTTTGAAATAGCTGCCTATGCCATCACAGATACTAAAAGAAAAAGCTAAGCAAAACAATAAAACCAAGCAGAACAAAACAATGAAAATGATGCAGGAATTTAAAACAAGTTAGTAGGGAATTAACAACAGCTACCACCTTCAGGAGATCCTTTAACTACATGCTCACCCCACTGGTTTAAGGCCTGCAAAATCAATCAAACAATACAGGAATTAAATTTTTGGTTTTTTTTTTACTTCAGTGGCCAATCGGCCTATGTTTTTCTGAGTCAGCTGGTTGCATGCTGGGTGGGGAGAGCTCAGTACTTCTTTTATTTTTTTCTTGGTCTTTGCCCTTTTTATCAGTACCTGGGATTGAACTCACGACTGCCTGCTTGTAAGGCAGGAGCTTATGCTGCTGAGCGAAATCCCCAGCCCTAGCACTGCTTGTCTCCCACTCTGAGCACCTGTTGGCTCACAAAAAGTGGTTGACCCTGCTCACAATGGATGCTGGTTCACTGGAAGGGACTAGATTCTTCTTGGTTCTCTTCCCCCAGGATACATGGCAGCGGCGGGCTCCCCATTCTTGTCACTTCCTGAAGCTGTTCTGGAAATCCTCTTTTGTGCCTTTAGTTGCATCTTCCGAACTGCCTTGGTGTCCTAAATTCAATCCAAAACATTTACTTTTCATGGTTTTCTTTCTTCTTTCTTTCTTCCTTTCTTTCTTCCTTTCTTTCTTTCTTTCTTTCTTTCTTTCTTTCTTTCTTTCTTTCTTTCTTTCTTTCTTGTTTCTTTTCTTTCTTTCCTTCTTTTTGAAACAGGGCCTTGCTATGTAGTTTAGGCTGCCCTTGAACCCACTATGTAGTTCAAAATGGCCTCAAACTCCCAGTGATCCTCCTGCCTCAGCATCCTGTGTGCTGGATTACAGTGTGTGCCACCATGCTCAGCTAGAGTAAAATTTTTTCAGTGCAAGCAAGGGTCGTATTTTTTGATACAACCTGTATAACAAATGCTTAATGAACAAAAGCTGCTATGGTTAGTTATGACATGATTTCCCAAATGTCAGTCAGTGCATGGTGCCTTTCATGTACTATTCTGCAATTCATTTAATCATTTTCTTTAAATTGGCTAATGCAGAAATAAACCTAGGCTGATGGGGTGTGGTGGTGCATGACTGCAATCTCAGCATTTGGAAGACCAAGTCAGGAAGATCGCTGAAAGTTCAAGGCCAGCCTGGACTATATAGAGTGACTCTGTCTAAAAAACAAACAACAACAGCAGATACCTGGTTAAGCATGTGCTTAGCATTAAGAAATTGTGGTCTTAGGCAGCTGGGGATTTAGCTCAGCGGCATAAGCGCTTGCCTTGCAAGTGTGAGGTCCTGAGTTTGATCCCTGGTACTGATAAAAGCGAAAAAGACACACCAAAAAAAAAAAAAAAAAAAAAAGAAAGAAAGAAAGAAATTGTGGGCTTGGGGCTGGGGATTTAGCTCAGTGGTTTAAGCACCTACCTGGCAAGCAATAGGTCATGAGTTTGATCCCAGGCACAAAAAATAAGTTCTGGGCTTATCTGCAACAGTGCAAATTAAATAAATAAACAAGTCAAAATAAAATAGAGCAAATGTCTTTTATAAAAGAAATGTTGGCAAGTGCAAGTCCCTGAATTCGAGTCCCAGCACCAAAAAGAAGGAAAGAAAGAAATGTAAACTTGGGTGTGGTGGCACATTTCTGTAATCACAGCATTTGGGAGGCTGAGGCACTACTCTAAGTTCAAGGCCAACCTGAACTGTCTAGCTAGACACTGTCTTAGAAAAAAACCAAACAAAACAGATCCAACCAAAGTAAAATAAAACAAAACAAGAAATGTTACTTTCCCACCTTGAAAGGAAGCCAGTGTTGCTTTAATAGACGATAACTGTAAAGATGACCACAAAAATACATTTAAAATTTGGGCATCACCTAAAATCATCTTTTGGCCCTTGTGATCTGTTTTTCTAGGAGTTAGATCATGTTATTCCAAGAAGTAGTTACAGCCACAGAATCAGTAAACACGAGAGCCCTGGGCAGGGAGCTGGCCTGGTGTGTGCGGAGACACCCACGAGCCTAAGCTAGGTGTGAAAAACGAAACAGGGAGGGGATGGAGTGAAAGGGGTGGGACAATAGGGATTATAAACCACACAAATCAACTTTCACTGTGAGATGGCAATCGTAGGAGGGTTTTACTTGGGAGAATAACACTTGTCAAGAAACCCTTGATTTTCTGTCCTAAAGGACCAGCGTTTTTGTGTTGAAAACGAGTGGATGGGCTGCGAGAACGGGACTATGGTATTATTTGTTTCTGGAGCTCCGTTTCCCTCACCATAACACGCGGGCATAAAAATTTTATGAACTCTGGTATTTAAATTCAGTGAGGACAGGATGTTTTTTATCCCAGCACCGAGGACAGTGCCTGGGACAGAAGATGCTTAATAAGCCTTTAAGTGGATTTAGGGTTCTGCAGATCCTCGCAGTTCCACAAAAGGACAGCAGGTGTCGCAACAGCCACACGGCAGCTACCTGGAGCCTCCGGGACTCCGGCTCAGACCTTACAGCGAATTTACTGTTCCACAGAAGAACTCAGATTCTTCCGGGAAGGGACCTGTGAATGCCAAATTATGAGCTTCTTCTCTTAAACTGAGTTTTCGCTTTGGAAAAAGAAATTACTGCCTCTTTAACAGTGGATCAGGTTCTGGAGTGCGTCTTCCCAGAATTCATGGCGCTATGTAAATGAGACAATTTCCAGAGGGGATAATTCACGTCGAATACTCAGAAAAAACCTTGAAATATAATTTTTGTAATAATTACACAAGAGGAAGTTATGGTGCCAAAATCAACTATCTCATGCTTTTCACAAACTAATAACCATAATCATAAAAAGTTTGCTATTAAGTGCTTTATATAACTGCGTGAAAAGGGCCCTTCTTGCCCGGATGATCCTCAGTGGTCTGGGGTGCAGGCTTCAAACCTGTAGCTGTCTAGCGACAGAGTGGTTCAATTCCACCTTTCGGGCGGTTTTTTTTTTTTTTCCACCCAACCTGCTGACTGCACTGGAAATTGTGAGGTCCTCCAAAGGGGCTCTCCCACCCCCGCACCTGGAGGGGTCGCTGCAGCCTTCTACATTTGGTTTACGCTCTACGTGGGCTTCTGCCCGCGGTGACTTTTTCCGCGGGAATATCAAAGTTGTCTCGAAAAGATGAAGAGCATTTCTTCTACACAGTTCCAGGATTAATATGGGTTTTCCTTCTGCACTGGCTTATTCATTCAGTCATTCACACACTCATGTAACTAGCTAATCACGCATGCACTTATTAATGAAATATTTGCTCCTTTTCTCATTGCCTTATTAGACGAGTGGCTGCCCGGGATCAGCCCACAGCCGGGTGATGCTGCGGACACAGCGATGAAGACAGCCCTAGTCCAGGGGGAGCTGCAAACTAAGCGATCCTGTGATTGTACATTTAATCACCAACCCAGAGGTAACTGCTGGAAGGAAAAGTACAGACAGCCCGAGGCCGTCACATGGGGAACCTGATCCGGTGGCCGGGTGACTGATGCTAGACGACACTGGAGGGATGAGAGGGGTTAGCGATCCATCCATTGATTGCAAGAGGAAGGCTGTCCGCGGCAGGCATGAGACGGCTCCAATAATAGCGGTTGGACTGGCAGAGACTGCTCCCTCTGTCCTTGGCACTGGTAGGCAGGAGCCCCATTCTGCCCACTGGCAAACTGAGACTGGAGCAGATGAACTCTCTCCTCCAAGGTCCCCAGCTTTGATGAGCCTGCGGCTCCAGATGCTATGTACTGCGGTCCTGAATTGTCCTTGCCAAGCCAATTATTCATCATTGTCTGTTCAGCCTCCTGAATTGTGGGAAGGAGGGGTCTCTATAGAGATTGAATCCAAGGCCTTCGCACTAAGCTACATCCCCAGGCCTTTTTAAAATTTGGAGACAAGGTCTTACCATGTCACTGAATTCCCCAGACTGGGCTGGAACTTAAGGTCCTCTTGTCTCAGCCTCCCAGAGCGCTGGGATCACAAGGATCTAGTACCATGCTGGGCTCTAAATGTCTCTTGACTCCTTCCTCTCCTCTCTGTCCTGTGGCCCTGGCCCTGTTCAGGGCCTTCTCCCTAGTCTTTCTTTCCCTTCCAGTCACCCTCAGTCTGATGGCTACAGGAGTCATCCTAATGCAGAAAGCTGCCCCTACCCCTCCTGTGCCCAGAATCAGCTAAGGCTCCCTAGTGCCAAGAGAAAATGTAAGTTGTTTAACCCGGAAAATTAATGACCTGTAAAATCTAGTCCCTGCTAACCTCTGTCTGCACATCTTACTCCAGCCACCACAAACATGTACCTCCTTCAAGTTCCCCAGTGGATCTTTGCACTTGGAATTTTCTGCCCACTGCTGCCTTCTAGTCCCATTCAGCTGTCCTCTTCTCCAGGAAGATGGCCTTGACCCTCAGTCAAGGTTACATGCACCTGCCACACCCCCTCAGTCCCATGGGGCCCTTAGCCCTGTCACCTTTGTGTTGTCCCTAAGGATGGATCTGTATCCACCATTGGACTGTGAAGCCTAGGAATGCAAGGCTTGGGGCTCAGTCCCTGCATTGTCTCCAGCTCACAGTAGGTGCTTAGAAAAAGATTTTTTTGTTTGTTTGTTTTTTGGAGACAGGGTCTCACAGTGTAGTTCAGGCTGGCCTTGTACTTATGGTGATCTTCCTACCTCAGCCAGCTGAGTGCTCAGATTACAGGGGGCTGCCACCATTCCTGGCCAAAAAAAAAAGTGTTTTTTGTTGTTGATTTTCTTTTCTTTCTTTCTTTCTTTTTTTTTTTTTTTTTACCCATTCTATTCCGTGGGAGTTTTCCTTGTTTTTTGAGACACAATTTCACTAGTATCCCAGTCTAGGTTGAAACTCTTAATCTGCCTGCCTCAGCCTTCCAGTGCTGGTGTTACAGGTATATGCCACCACACCTGACAATTCTGCTTATTCATTTGCAAAAACATTCAAAGGACCTCAGCACCACTACCTCATTCTTAGGGTACTTGCTGCCACGCAAATAAAGAGGATGTATTTTACAGGGGAGATGGCTCCTCTGCACCTTTGAAAAGATAAAAATGCAATACTTTTTGTTGACAGTCTGGCCCCAATATGTTCAGATCCCACAAGAGATGATTACAGTAAATAACAAGGAAGCATCCTGAGGGTAAGAACGCCATTTCTGTAGTTCATATAACTTAGAGGACTAAATTCACAATCTGAATGGTCTGTGGTAGCTAGGAATACAGATTCCTTAAACCTCTTGTAGGAGGTTTTTATTTTACCCTGTTAACTTTTGCTGGAGCTATTGGGCATCCAACCTCCAGCAAAAATTCCTCTGGCACCAGGATCTTCTGAGACCGTTTAGCACATGAAGACCTCGCAGCAAATATTCTCCTTATTTTTCCCTCGTGAGAGGCACAGGGAGTCGCTCCTGACCTCGTGCCTCCTGCCATCCTGCAAGAAGCTGGTTCACAGCAAAGTTCTGCCGTGGTGCGCATGTGCGTGTGCGTGCGTAGTCCTCCTAGCATCTAACCTCAAGTAAATGGGTGCCTGGAGAAAAGTAGAGACTGCTGCCTGGTTGATGCATTTTTCAGAGCTTTTTATTGGCGACAGTGCAGAACCAAGGGGAGAGAGGAGCAGCCCAGTACCAGCCACCCCAGTCCCCAGGGTCAGGTGCAAAATACAAAAAAGGAATCACAAATACAGCATGGAGTGGGAAGGAGGTTGGGGATTCAATAAACTTGTGATTGGCAGGGCCAGGCCCCACCCAAACTCGCACTCACGCCCAGGATTCTCAACGATACAGACTGCAAAAATGTACCATCACTCAGACTTACTTACAAAATTAAAATCTCAGGTCCCCAACGAGCCCAGTCAGCAGACAGCTGGAGGATCAGCGACAGTCAGGAAGGGGACAGGTGGGGATGGTCAGAGACAGAAAAAGAAACATTCAAAGACGGCCAGAGACTGTTAGACCAGCCAGAGGGGCTGGGACACAGCCAGAGACAGATAGACAGCCGGAGACAGACTGATTCAAAGTTCCAGAAGCATTTCCAACCCCACGGCACACTTTTAGATGCAGAAGCACTCACACGTACACGCGCGCACACACACACCCATATATAATATATTTATTTATACATAATAGATATAAGTGCCTTTCGGAAACCAGGGAAGGGTTAAATAGGTAAGGGAGGGTCTGGTTCGGGCCCAGAGACGAGGGACCAGGGTGTGGAATGTTGTCCATGCGACACAGAGCGTGGCAGGGCCACTCTCATTATTAAAAAATAGAAATTTGCCTCATGATGAAATGCTTACGGGTGAAGCCCAAGGAAAGGTGAGGCGGGAGCGCCAGACCGAAGTTGGGAGCCGAGGCAGTGGCGGGGTGGGACTGCGGGAACCCAGCCTCTCCATGTTTGCCAGTCCAAAAATATTGGGGGTTCAGGGGGTCAGAGCCTCAGCCCTTAAAACTTCTCCGGAAAATGTCAAGCCCTCTAGCTCCCTTTCTAGAAGGGACGGACGCTGGGCTGGGCGCCGAGGGCAGGGAGAAGTTGGCGTCCTAGGCTGGGGAAGGTGGGGACCTTAGAGAAAAAGGCCAGGGCCAGAAGAGAGAGAGGCCTCGTGGATGCGGACGGGTCACTGTCATCCCCCCCTTCTCGATTCTGCCAACTCCTTTGAGTCTAACTCATGGGTGAGGGGAGGAGGAGGCAGGTAGGGGATCGGGAGGTCCAGGGAAGGTTTTGGGGAGTCGGGGTCTTGTCCCACCCGGCCCACCCCACAATCCGGCCGCTCATTCACAGTATAAAGCACTCCAGCAGGACGGCGTCGCAGCACCCCCTGCTGCTTGAAACCAGAAAGGCCCAACAAGGACGGCCAGGGCGCCCTGGAAGGAGGGAGCTTGGAATAATACTGCGATCGTAAAGGAGGGCAGGGTGGGGGGCATGGAGTGCGGGCCTTGGGGGCCGAGAAGGCCCAGTCCTAGCCAATTTTTTTTCCCTCTGAGGAGGGGGACAGCTGGACAATCGGTGAAGAAAGTTCACATTTCAGAATAATTCTGGGGTGAAGCTGATTATAACAGGGCGCCATCAGCTTCCCGGGGAGGGGGGCTGGGGGGCTCACTTCTGCCCAGAGGAGGATTTAACCTCCAAGAAAGGTAGGATAAAGAAGCTTAGGGTCGAGGACACAGGGGGGGTCAGCAGGGGCAGAGTGAGGAGAGTCGCGTTCCTTGTTGGGCCTGTCTGGGGAGGGCTCCAGCCCCCACAGCTCCCACCCACCCGCGCCCTGCTGCCCCACCCCGCCCAGCGCAGGACGCCAAAGGTGGGCGTCGCCCTCCCACCCGCGCGTCCCCAGAGGTTGGACTGAAGCAAGAGGACCAACAGGCATCTGGGGCGCGTCCATCTCCTCCCCACCCCTGTCCCAAAAGTCACCAGCTCTCCGGTCTCGCCTGGCGCATAAACAAAGAGGCGGCACAAAACACAAGAGGTCTTCTGTCCGGTGGCAGTGGAGACAGGGGCAGACGGAAGAGCCAGGGGGCCGCGCACCCGCTTTGTCTCGTCCCCCCTCTCTCTCCTCCTCCTCCTCCTCCTCCTCCTCGTGCAAATCGCTCTCCCGCTCGTGTGTTTGTGTGTTCTGTTTGTCTAAAGAGTTCACAGAGCAAGGAGGGAGGGCGAGTTCAGGGGGTCGGAAGGCTGGTCACTGCCGCTGGTGCGTTGGGCGCCGGCGAATGCGGAGACCTCCGGGCAGGTGAGGACAAACGAGGAAGTGTACGAAGGGTTAACAACGGGGAAGGGGTCGCCGAGGACTTGGACTTCACTGTGTGTAAAGAGAGAAGCCGTCAGGTGGGGGGGTGCGTCTTGGCTGGTCTGGAAGGGCAGGGGCGGTGGTGGCGGGGGCGGCAGCAGCCAGCTGAAACCATCTTCCTTAGCGGATGCGGACCCCGGCAAATCTCTCACCTCCGCCAGAGGGCCTGGCCCCGGACCCGGCCCCTCTTCGTAGGGGATCTTGCAGCCCGGTTTGTGGGCCACCAGCACAAACTCCAGACGCTCCTTCTCCTTTTGGAGCTCGGCGATCTCCGATTCCAGTTCTGCCTTTTCTTCCTCTAGCTGATCTGTCTCCTGAGGTCCGCAGCGCCCGGGTCACAGGAAACAGGAGGAAGGAAGAAAGGAAGTCAGTGACCAGACAATATGGCTTGTGGCCCCTCCAGAGAGTTGCTACTGCATGGGGAGCTCCAGGCAACTCCAGAATGAGTCCTGGCACACTATGGGACTTGAGGTCTTTCCTTGTAGGAGACTCAATTTTCCCATCTGTGTAATGGGATGGAACCAGGTGGATATGGTTGTCTCTTTGGTGTGTGGGAAGTACACAGAGGTTTGTTGAATGAATAAACAATTGCTCTGTGTCTTTAACATTTTTGTATTGTCATCCCTCCTCCTCTACCTCCCAGTAGGAAAGTAGAGAATTACTCTGGCTTTCTTGAAGGACAACAGGGGGGCAACCTGTGCAGGCATAAAGTAGGGAGCTCAGGCTGAGGTAGGGTGCAGAAACGAGTGGGTTTTGGTGAATGCCACCATCCCAAGTTCTGGAGAACTGTGGGTGGCTGGGGCAGGAGGTGGGGAATTAATTTAGGATAAAATAATTTAGTTTCACAGATTCTGCCGAATGTTCAAGGTAGATGGATAGTTGATGAGGAGGTCGAAGAGACTGACAAACTGGGACAAAAAGGAGTTATGGCTTAGTCAAAACCAAATGGGAGAGATGACTAAAGCTGCCCACCACTTGTCCCCACATAATAAAAAAAAAAAATCCCAAGAGAAGTGTACGTGGGGTCATAAATCAGCAGTGAAGGGGCACGCCCAAGAGCTGACACAGTATGCAGGGGTCTGTGTGCGTGCCCAGGGCCACCCCATGTGGCCACACTGTCCCTAGTTCCAAATAAGGCACCCCTGCTTTAGACCCCAGGACACAGGTACAGTGGAGGTTAGGGACAGAGAAGGGGAGAGTGCTCCCCTCACATGCCCTCACCCCAGGGACCACCCTTACCGCCTGTAGTCTGTCGGTGAGTTCCCTCCGACGGTTCCTACATTTAGCTGCTGCCAGTTTGTTCCGCTCACGACGAACCCTTCGCTTTTCCTCTTCCTCTGGAGTGAGCTGAGTAGAGGAGACACAGCCCATAAGATTTGGGGGTACAGTGTACCTCCTCCATCCCTGCCAAACCTCCTCTTCTTCTAGGACCCCCAAGAGCTTACACAGGGCCCTGTGGTCCCCGCTGACTACAGCAAGAGTGATAAGGTCCCTGTAGCTTGAAGGCCTGAGCAGACCCCCTCCCACAATACTGATAAAGTTCCCCTATCTCTTGTCTCCTCCCCCTGCCAGGCCAACTGACTCACACCCCACTCACCGTCTCCTCTCGGGGTCTCCTAGGTCGGGCTCTTGCTGGGCGGGAGGGCCCAGGTCCACTGCTAGTTCCACTGGTGGAAGGCCCCCCGCTGCCGCTAGCACCGCCACTACTGTAGCCACTCATGCCTGGTGTGGAGTAGCTGGTTCCTGGCATGTCGTAGGGGTCGACCGCAGGGGGCTGGGAGGCCAGGGGCTGCCCCTGGGACTGGGCCATGGAAGAGATGAGGGTGGGTTGCACGAGCCACTGGAGGTCCTGGCTGGTTGTGATCGCGGTGACCGTGGGCACGAAGGAACCGGGCATTTCCCCGAGACCGGCGCACTCCTACGGGGTGACACATACACACACAGGCGTAGACACACAAACAAAGACACCGACACAAACACACCCAACACACATAACACACACCGACCCTGTGAGTGAGCACAGGGTGAGCGGGTGTGGATGTGTGTGTCACAGGCAAAAAGCCACAACACCCACCCTTCCACTACACCGTGACGCAGTGGTTAATGAGAGGATTTCTGCTCAACTGGCTTCTACCTCCTCCTTCTTCCTCGGGGAAAGGTTGCACGGTTCCAGCGGGTGGTGAATCACACCCCGGGTTGGTGACTCTTAGGTGTAGGGGGCGGGAAGGAGGCTGGACACAGCCTGGTGACAGAACCCCAAGACGAGCCACAGCCACACACACAGCCACAACACCCCACCCCCACCCCAGAGGCAAGGGGAGGGAGAGGGAGAGGCCTTAGACCAAGCCTTCCTCTACACACACACACACACACACACACACACACCCCTCCGTGCCAGCTCCCTTGTGGGGGCGGGGGTCCCAGTTAAAAGGATGTTGGAGGAACGGCCTAGGAGTAGAGAGAATCGTTTCAAGTAACTGTCTCTCTCCAGTGACACTGACAAGTGACAGGTTCAGGTGCACAAACAGGTAGGCAAAAGTGACAACTCGGCTCTCTCAGACTATCGTGGAGGGGGATGGTGTACGATCTGACCCTCATAGTCCCAGCAGCGCTCATTGCCCCCCACCCGCAAGTGGCATCCTGGAATTGTTCTGAAGCTTAACTACTCTGTCGGGGGGCGTGGTGAGGGAAGGGCTGCCTCGCTGGCCAATCAGCGTTCTGAGAACTGAGAGGGGGCGGAGCTCCCGGAGACCACCTGGCTAGTTCTCCTCCGGTTATCTGTCCTAGTCCTGTTTTCGGACTAGCTCGAGGGACCCAGGGTGCAGCACAGAGGGAGTGTGAGTGTCTCTGTGTGTAGTGAGAAGAGAGAATGACGGCCACCACATTTCCAGAATAAATGCCGGCGCACAAAGAGAAATATCTGCTCCGGAGAGCCGACAGGCTAGATCTCTGCTAGAGCCCGCAGACCCACTGGGTAGCAAAGGGTCGTTCTGGTCGCGACAGGCGTTCTATCGCTGTGCCTTTACAGGCCCTTAAAAGAGACCCAAGCATCTAAGAACCACGGGTTCCAGGGACAGAGGGGGGGGAAGGGAACTGCGCCCTCCAAATAGGAAGGGAAAGTTGATTGGCCAAAGTCTTGCGCGGCAGCGACCAATCGCAACGCCGGACTGCCTCCCTTAGCAACGTGGCCCCGGCGTTCCAAAATAGAACGCTCCCGGGACGTCAGGGGCGGGGCGGACGAAGGGGGCGTCGCGCGCCGTGCGTGCCCCGCGTCAGCCGGAGGATTCCAGCGCGTCAGCCGTTACGCACGGGTCCCCCGTTACGTCTCCGCGCAGGAGGCGGAGGCAGCGTCGTGGAGGGTTCGAGACCTGCTTTCCCGCAGGGTGGAGGATGACCCGGCGCCAGAGTAGGCGCTGGGAAGAACAGAGGTAGAAGCTACTCATAGCATCTCTGGGATTTCCCCCTCCTGCCTAACTACCCTCGTTTCAGGTTGAGGACCTGTACTGGGGACAGACCGGGCGCCCGCTAAAAGTTCCCCGCATAAACGTTGCACTGAGCGCGCATTCCCCTGCCCCCGACACCCGTTCCCAAGCCTATCCAGCTGCGTTCCCTCTCAGCGCTCCGCGCACACAATTGCAAATATCTTCCAGTACTTTGCAAAGTGCGCTGTCAGCCTACTCTTTCCCATATCCTGGATTTTGTGGCTTTACTTGAGGAGTGGTGGTTACCCGCTCCACCCATTCTAGACTTAAAAAAATAAGACTTCCAAAGCATTTATCGCTTACCTGGGAGGCGGCGGCGGTTGGTGGGCTGCCGAAGGAGTCCACCGAAGACAGATACTGAGACTCGGCAGAAGGTGAAGAGCTGCACCGGGAGCCGGAATCGTACTCTCCGGGGAAAGCCTGAAACATTTCCCTGGGCACAGGGGGGGCCCTGTGACCACGCTGAGGTCGCCGGGAAGCCAAGGCTAAGGCCGGGTCGGGTAAATAAGATGCGAGTCCGGGGTGTGCCGAGCGCGTCCCCAAAGTGCGCTGTCCGGGGAGGCTCAGAGACGGGGCAGCGTCCCGCTCCAACAACAGCAAAGTTTCTGTGCAGTTCTTCCGCAGTACCCAGCTCCCTTGTAGGATGCCGCTGTACCTCCTAAAAGACCAGACTCTGTTGGACACGGAAGCGAGCGGGGATCGCTCCCCAAGAGGCAGAAAGCGCTGTACAGAATTCGCTTCGGGTGCGGTCTCTTGCACGCGTTCGGCGAGTTCCCCGGCGGGGAGTAATAAAGAAGAGGAAAAAGTTTAAGTCGGTCCTCCAAGACGTAATGAAGAAATATCTAGAATTCTTCTGAAAACTTTCTCTCCGGAATTTAAAAAAAAAAAATATCACAGTCGCCAAGAAGAATCACAATAGTCCAGGTCCCCAAGTCCCGACTCCGTGTATCCCTGCCGCGGCGATACCTCTCAGCCTTATGAATGAAGCGCAGAGCTGCCAGCCTGTATTTATATGCCCGGGACCCGCCCCCCTGCTTACGTCACCCCCCTCGCTCAACAATCTTCCCAAAAATCTCCGTTCTTTTTAAACCAATTCCCGCGCTCCCCGTCAAGAGGTCTTCGCTACCCTTGTTCTGGTCACCTGTATGACCCTCGCGGCCTTGGGGGTCTCAGGGGCTGTGTTCCGGCCTCGTCGGCAGCAGGGGATCCCGGCCCCGCCTTCCGGAGTTCCTGTGACGCAATTAGCCATATAAGGAGCTCGACCAGCTAGCCGGAGTGTTTGTTTGGTATCCTAGCAATGACGTCAGAGGGAATCCCTCGCTCGCTTTTGCTCGCTTGCGGAACACGCCCGCGCCTGCGCAGTGGCACGCCGCCCCGGGGGCCGGTATTAATAGGTGCTTAAAGTATCCTGGGGAGCCCCCTGTGACCCAAGCAAAGAAGGCCACCTCCTTAACTCTGGCGCCCCCATCTGCCCCAGTCTCTCGCTAGTGCAGCGCCCCCTTTTGAGTGGGAGAGCAGATCTCCAAAAAGAGACATTATTGTGGTGCAGTCACGTAGGCGGGTAAACTGAGTCTTGAACGATGTGTGTCGGGGCTATAAGGCTGCGATACTCCAGGTTAAGGTGAAGGTGGATTTCGAGTGCCAGGACTCTTCACAGCTTCTGCCCTGATTCGCTCAACTTGGAAAATGTTTTTCCTTTCTGACCTTCAGTTTCAAGTGTCCCGGGTGACTGAATGATTTGTGTTTAGGGTCTGGCTGGGCTCCTGGGTCCTCCATTGGGAGGCACAGAGGTTCGGAGGGGCTGGAAAATAAACGAAGTTCTCGGCTGGTGGTCTTGATAGCTTCTTCTTCCTGCTTCATAACCTTACCTGGAGACAGAAAGAACGAGTGTGTGTGTAATTAACAAAACAACTGATGATGTGCATTTAGCACTTCATATTAGTCCTGTGCTAAGCCTTCCAGTGTAAGACTTGTAATCCGCAAAACAGCCTTGGTCCGGGGATTGAACCCGGGGCCTTATGCATACTAGCAAATACTCTAGCTCTGAGCTACATCCCCAGTCCTTTTTAAAATTTTATTTGGAGACAGAGTCTTACTAAATTACCCAGACCAGCCTTGAACTTGAACTTAAGATCCTCTTGCCCTAGTCTCTCAAGTATCTAGAATGACATATAACCACGACCCTGCCTGGCTTGAATGATTTTCAGTTTAAAAAAAAGGACAATGATATTCAGAGAGGTTAAATGACGTGTTCAAGATCTATCATAAGAAATTTAACCCCCCCCCAAAAAAAAGAAAAAGAAATTTAAATCCAGAATGCTCAAGCTCTGGAGCCTCTCTCTCTCTCTCTTTTTTTTTTTTTTTTTTTTTGGTCTTCTTCGTTTTTATCGGTACTGGGGATCGAACTCACAACTGCCTGCTTGCAAGGCAGGCACTTATGCTGCTGAGCTAAACCCCCAGCCCCTCTCTCTTTGTTTTTAATTTGGGGTGTGGAGTCTCAATATGTTGCCCAACACTGGACTGGAGTAACCTTCCTGCCTCAGCCTCCAGAGTACCTGGCATCCTGACCTGTGCACAGAGGCCAGGTTAGAGCTCCAGCACTTTCACTTTTCTTTCTGATTTCTTTGACCTGCCTCTTGAAGCATCCTGAAAAACCTTTGTCTGGAGACTGTGTAAATGACAATCATGTCATAAATGATAGTGGTGTCTTACTCATTTCCATCTTTTATGAGCTTTGCAGACCCACCCTGGGTGCTTCTAGTCTGCTATGTAACCTATGTTCAGAGGGTGAAGGCTACTTACCAAAACCAGCTGAGTTAATACAAAGGGTTCAGCAGCCTAATGCAGCTCAGCATGGTGGTGTATGCCTGTAATTTCAGCTCTCAGAAGGATGAAGCAGGAGGATTGCTGTGAGTTTCAGGTCAGCCTGGGCTACATAGTGAATCCAAGTCCAGTGTGGGACCTTGGTTCGATCACAAGAGCCAGTCTTTTTTTCCCCCAGACTCTTCACACTGAGATTCATCTCTGGTTCTTTTATTTATTGAGATGGGGTCTCACTAAGTTGCTATGTTATTCACAATGGTCTAATATTTGTGATCCTCCTTCCTAGCCTTGCAGAATGCTGGGTTTATAGGGACATGCCACCACACAGGTATTTCTGAGGCTGTAGCCCCCAACTCTGAAGCACTCAGCAGGAAAGATGCCACCAACAACTGCACAAGCAGAGAGCCCAGCACTGGCTTCTGCTGCATAACCTGGCCCAGAGAGAGTGGCCCTGAATTCCTAGGGGATTCTGGGTTCCCAGCTCCAATAGCAGGGAGGGGAAGGTTAGAAGACTGGAGGGACCTAGGAGGCATGGAAGGGCCATTGAGATTTCCAGACAAAAACCTAGACTCAAACCATCCTCCACCTTCTTCCCTCACGCCCCCTCTGTCTGCTACCAGTCAGGAGGGAGGGACAGGGACAGGGAATGACACAGCAGCCACTAGCAAGCAATGACTTGGCACCGGCAACAGACAGGGAGTGACCCCCTCATCCTCCTGTCCCGTCTAAGCCCCTCATCTCCTCCTGCATGGAGCAAAGAAGACACACAAACACTCACCCTGGCTGCCCAGAGAGCTTCCTGCCCCAACTCGGGTGGCACATACACCCACAAAGCCACTGTCATGCAGACACAGGGCCCATGGGGTCACACATGGGTGCTCAGACAAATCCCTTCAAGGAGCAGCACACATGGCCAGGCAGAACAGCTTCACACACACACACACATACACGGTCGCAGGGTTCCCACCACACATGACACAGTTCGCACTCACAAAGAAAGAAGTCAGGTGTACAGCCACCAGGGACAGGGACAGACCTCAAAACACACAGGGACCCTAGAATTTACAGTAGAGGCACATAGATACGTATCTTTTTTCTTTTTCTTTTTTTTGTCTTTTTCGTTTTTATCGAACTCATGACTGCCTGCTTGCAAGGCAGGCGCTTATGCCGCTAAGCTAAATCCCCAGCCCCTAGATACATATTTTTACACATGCCACACCCAGTGAGCAAGACATCAGTGGGCACGTGTGTGCGTACACACACCACACACACACAGACCAGCAACTACAACCCCTGATGGAACACCCACACATATAATTCAACAAGAGCAAAGATGAGTTCCTCTAAGGGCTTATTTTGTGTGTGTGTGTGGGGGGGGTACTTTGACCGACTCCCCTAGCCTTTTTTATTTTATTTTGAAACAGGGCCTCACTAAAGTTGTTCAGGCTGGCCTTGAACTTGTGATTCTCCTGCTTCAGCCTTCTGAGTGAGGGGATTAAACCAGCTTGAACCAGCAAGTCTCCCTCTCCTAGTGAGCTCTGGGATGTTGTTCAGGGTTAACTTTTTAAATTTCACACCGTACTCCTACAGGGTTAAGTCAACCAGTTAGAGGTAGGAAGCAGACGGATATCGCTCAAAGGGCCTGACGGGCCTGGGCTCTGAGTGTGGAGAGTGGGCTCCAGAGCAGCGCTTTGCACTGTTATTCTCGAGCAGACGATCACACTCACACGGACACTAGCATTTCATGCTGCCCCTGACAGACCCAGGAGCCAGGTGACCTGGGCTCACATTCTAGACCTACCACTTTGTAGCTGGGTGAACTTGTGTCAGTAATGTCCCAGAGCCTCAGTTTCCCTGTCTGGGGCTGGTGGAGGAGTCCATAAAGCTCTTGGCACATTGTAGGTCCTTGTTTTATTATTAAAATGACAGCCATGTGTGATGGCGTATGTCTGTAATCCTTGTACTCTGGAGGCTGAGGCAGGAGGATTATTTCAAATTTGAGGCCAGTTTGGGATACATAGTGAGTTCAAAGCCAGCCTGAACTACATAAGGGAACTCTAAAAAAAACAAATATATCACTCTAAACTTCACAGATATAGAAACCCCCCCTCTATTTCCTACATCTGTCATAATCCTCATGTGTCCAACAAAGAAGGCGACCCTAAGCACTTGGGAGGCTGAGGCAGGAGGATTATTGCCAGTTCAAAACCAGCCTGGGTTACAAAGTGAGCCCAAGTCTAACCTGAACTGCATAATGAGATCCTGTCTTGGAAAGACCAAAAAAAAAGGGATGGGGTGGGGTGGGTTGGGGACCCTAGAGACACTGCAGAGTCTAGAGACACACAGGACAGGAGAGTCTAGTAGTTTCTGTAGCAGTTGATCCTCTGGGAGGAGGAGGACTTGAGCATGGGGGAGAGAGTAGATCCTGCTCAGGTTCCCAGGGGACCTTTGGTCCCCAAAGCCCCTCCCCTTGG